CACGGAAATGTGGCTCCAGATGTGGAAAGATGGTGGAAAATGTGGATAGTGTGGAAAGTGAAGGGCAATTCCAAGTTTTGGTGTGATTCTGGATGAAAGTACTGGTTGGACCACTTGAGACGTCAGATGAGTACCAATGACACCAATGAACCAATTTGCTCTGCATTTTTCTCTGAGTAGCGGTTCATCTGGTGCAAGATCAGTGCATTTGATGTTTTTGACAAAACAGACCTGAAAGTAAACTCGAATGAAGTCTCGTTTGGACATTATTGACCCTTCTACACGCCTCAAATCCAGGCACAGTGACTTAGTGTCTAATTTATATTTCACATTTTTCACCTCACTAAAGAAGAAATGGGCGACATTTCACTCATATCTCTTGGTTGCTTCACGTCCAGCCCCCCAAAATCTCAGCGCAGCGGAGGCGCCGGGAATCTATTTGAACAACTGCCCACAGGGCCTGCATGGTCCCATTGAAATCCTGTCCCAGACAGCCTTCAGTGACCTGGAACCCGACTGGAATCCACCAGAAAAATCAGCTAACAATAGGGTGAACTCATGACTTCATGGTTAGCTTAGTATTAACCATACCAATCTATCACCCGAAAAAAATCCGAAAGTCACGGACTTTTGCCTGGCTAATTCATTTGCCACTTGTAGATTTGCTGTGCTATTTGGTGAGCTGCTGAATTTGTGTTTCTTTCCCTCACCATTGAGTCAAACAATGAACATTGTCTTGCTTATGTATCAACCCACAGCTAGGCTAGGTATGGTTCCATAGTTTTCATTTTTTTGTCCCGGAACCACAGATTCAAGCCATGTTGAATGAGTGGGAAACAGGCTGAAACAGGTCAATTTGCTGTGCCCAACCTTCAGCCAACTCATCCCCATTGCAATGCCCATTTGCCATCATCTGCCCATCTCCAGCGATCAAAAACGCGTACCCGGTGACAGGGCGGCCGTGACGTTCGGGGCGTGTCGCGTGTCGGCGGGGTCGCGCGAAAAGCGCTGCGATGGCCGAGCGGTTTGTCGCTTAACTCGTCATGGGCTGTGGAGCGTCAGTGGGACGATTCGAGGAGTGGCTCGGAGGGACGTGGAGTGCTTGGTGGTTTTAGTTCTTTAATATTGAATAAATATGAATATGAGAATTATTGCCGTTATATTAATTATATGAATGATTCATTATATGTCATTATGTGTATAATTATGTGTTAATTATATATATGTTGATTATATGTTACAGTAATTATATGTATATCATATGTTAATTATATGTTGTTATTTATTTCGAGATCTTCGAAGCCTATATTAATGCTGGTTGGTGGTTTCAAACATTTTTTATTTTCCACAATAGATGGGTTGTCATCCTTCCCATTGACTTTCATATTTTTCAACATGGTTAAAACCACCACCAACCAGTAACCCATAGGATCCATGGTGCTGCTATATATGGTAACATGGATCCCATCAATATACCCCCTTTATATTAGCATATATACCAGCACCATGGATCCGTCATGGGTAACGGGTAATGGATATTTGAGATGATTGTTTTCTTCCGCTTGAAACCAACAGAAATTCTGCTAGATCCATCCAAAGCCCCTGCTTGGGATGATCCTCAAATTCCACCAGGATTCGCTGGTGATTTCTTTCCCCTTGGTCCACCATACTGTAGGGAAGCAATGTGGAAGCAATCGAGGATCGCTTCTATGAAAAATCATGCCCTCCAGTATACGATAAGATATTGAACAGCCGCCATTTGTAGATCATTAGTACTTACCCTCTGGTTATGTCAAAGTACTGGTAGCTATTGAAGCCATGGCCCAGTCGAAATAGTGGATCTACCCATTTTTCACATCGCGGATCTTTCCAGTTCGTTAAACGTGGCAGTTTACCATCCGAGGTTCAGCAGCTTTCATGCGCAATACTCCCTGGGATCCATTCCCAAAGCCTTGGGGAAAGGTTCTTATGGATCGGCCACTTGGAAGCTACGCACCGGAGGGGAATCATGGCACCCGTGGTAAGCTGGTGATTTGAATGCTGATCCCCAGTTGATGATGATGATGATGATGATGAGGATGATGCTTGTGGCTCATGGTGTTTCCAATTCTTCACACACCGAAGTCTGCCGGCCAAAAACTGGCTCCCACTTCGTCGACCCAAGCACCACAAGGTGACCCCAGTCATGTTTCTTGCTTGATAATCCCCATGAACTATAGTGATAGTTCATGATATTTCGATATACTTACCACAAATCCACACTAATCCGTATAAAACCCTATAAATCCTAGTCAATTTATAGGTATTTGCCAACTTCGCCAAGAAACTGAAGCTTCTTCATCGTCGCACCCGAAACGGTCAACGACCCGGCGCAATGACGCCCCCAGGTTTTCCTGGCGACGGCGCGGCACGCGAAGCACAGCAGCTTCGCGGTCAAGGTGCAGACGGCACGGCGCACGGCCACCAAGAAGATCGAACACGAGGCGGGGTTCCCAGGAACATTTTTTTGAATTCTAATGATACAACCCATATATGACCCATATTGCAGGTTTAATACAAGGTGTATAATATCATAGAATGTGATGCCGCCTGGAGCTAAGTTGGTTTGTAGTAGGTTGACTATGGTTATCGTACATAGGTTAAACATATAACTATAATATACATATAAGAATATGTAGCTATTGGGGATTGGGGATGTATCAGCCAACTTGTGCCAATCATTTTGTAAATCAAAATGGGTGGTAAAAACTATCTAATTAATTATTTGTAGAACTTTTTGGCTTTATGCATGTTTTACCCTCTCACAGCACAGAGAACAATATCCAACAAGAGATACTGAAATGTTCTTCGCCAAAGATAGGGGATTGATTAATGCCTGGGAGAATTTGGTGCGTTTACCGCATGATGTACTCCATTGTTTGTTTTTTGCTAGGACCATTTGCAGGAAACCATTTACATCACGTTTTCTTGACGATTCAAATTCTGGGATTGACCGATTTAACCTTTAGCAAATGAAGATACCTAGATATCGAACAACCATCCTGTGCACATAGGGGTCCTTAAAAAGATATATCCAAACAAAAAAATCCAGGGATGTCCAGGGTGTGATAGACTACATAAGACGACATGTTCAATCATGTTCCACATCATTTCCAGGTGGAACTTTTTCTCAATGGATCGGTCAAAACAAATTCCAGGACACACCCAGGATCTTCATAGGAAAATCGATGGTTTCATCGATGGTTTCCGGTGTTCAGATTTTCCCTTACCCTCTGGTAAACGTTAACAAAAAACTATGGAAAATCACCATGCTATTCATGGGAAAACTCACTATTTCTATGGCCATTTTCAATAGCTTGTGTTAGTTTACCAGGCCGGGTCACCAATCCTCAAATCCGGTGGGATTTTTCAATGGCTGGGGGCTTTTTTTGAGGCCAAAATCTGGAAACTCTGTGCCTCGCACCGGAAACTTGGGCCGAAAACCACAACAGAATGGGACCCCCGTTTTTTGCGTTCAGAAACGCAGTACAGAAGTGGCTGAATTCTATGGTTTCTATGGGTTATATGGAGATTATCATTTCTATGGTTTATTTCGATATAATGAACTAGTATTCATGGGGGTTATAGTGGTTCATAAACCAACTTATAACTGGGGGGGCCCATCATGGAAATGCTCTTTCAATGGATTGGTTTTCTTGGGAACATCTTAACCGGAAACCATCATTTTTCCCATTATGGGGCTTTCCGGTTAAAATATTCCCTGAAACCAATCCATTGATATATATATATATATATATACATATACATAGATGCAAGTGTTGTTGGGAAAACAGACTTAGTGTCTTACCAGAGGGCCGAGTCGGATGGCAGCCGGTGCGGCACACACACTCTCCTAGGTCTGTGAGATCTTTCTCACCCTACAGCAAGTGGTGCCCCCCAGTTATAGGATGGTTTATAAACCCCATGAATACTATAGACTATAGTTATACATATATATATAAGTATCATAAACCATAGTGACATTGGAGTCATGTTCACCAACTTAGCGATTTCGTAAACGGGGGCACCACATTGGGCTTGACATCGTTGAAGGGAACTCATGATTTCAATCCAATCCCTAGCTTTGGGGTTGAATAGAAACCAGGATTCTTGGAGGAATAGTTGGGTATTAGTTGGGTGATGAAAAAATGGAACTCGGAGTTCCTTGAAAGCAATTTTGACCAGCAGCTGGACGTATTCATGGTATTATACCATACTAATGTGGTTAAAACAATGCCATGTTTACCACCCATGACTGGGAATTGGTTTATAAACCACCAATAAAAATGGTGATGACTGGGGGATCAATATACCACATTATACCATTACCATAGAATCTACCATTACAATCATTACCATTACCCTATATAAACCATAAGTTATGATTGTGGTATATTGATATTTTATGGTTTATGATTGTTTTACCCACATTATACCACCATAAAAACAGCTATAGGATGGGCCGGTCCACCATGAAATACCCAGCCATGGTGGGCTATCGTGGGCTATCGTGCCGCTAGGGACCAACAGAATTCAGCATCATTTCCAAAAAAAAAACACAATTCCACAACTTTGGACTGATTCTGGATACCCTCTGGTAAACTAACATTGCTATGGAAAATCTGAAATTACCAGAGGGTAAGTACTAATGATTAACGTCTAATGATATTTAATGAATATGATGTTTAGTAGTTACCCTTTCCTAGAACCTGACCTTGTGCCCAAGACGCGAACCCTTCATTACCTCTGAGGCTGAACCAATTTCTTTTCAAGTTTATGCAAGATGTGCGATGTCAATTGATGCAATGATGCATTGTCAATTTCCAATTTCAACAAGCTATGGCAAGCTGTCCGAGAATTCTGCTACGCTGCTACGTTCCAGCACCGGGCATCAGGAATGTGGTCCATTTTGTCCAAATGTGCCAAGAAGCCGACATTTACTTCATGGTCATGGAAGCCTGTCAATGCCCCTGGGACCCTGGGAGCCGTGATGATTCCATGAGAAAAAACGACAAACTGACTGGCTGTCAATAAGCGAGCTGGTGGGTAAACAATAAGGAACCATGTTTTGGGAGTGCTACCTGGTAGAGACCATGAAACTACCCTGAAACTTTGCAGATGATGATTTTTGTCTATGTTTCTTTTTGCAACGGACAATCCACTATGTGGCTATGTGGGCAATCTAAAGGTTTTTCTTTGTTTTATTTTTTGCTCTCTCTCTCTGTCGATACCTCATGAGCAAATCCAAGATCTTAACTGTGGACCCGCAGAACCTCCACATGTTCCCAGGCAGTCAGTTTTATGCCGCAGTCCTTCAGGTCGTCTACCTCAAGTAAACCCGAAATTAAGCCATCATATATATATATATAACTACGTATAATTGTTGTATTACAGATATTACAGTAACAACTATATATATAGAGACACATAACCAGACATATATATATATTGCATGTATAGCTATCTATATATATATATATCTTAATATATGTATATAATATCTAAACTCAAAACTATATATCAACATACAGCACTTTTCATGTTTGGTTGTTCATGCCCAAATGGTACGTCGTTATCTCGATAGCTCCCCAGGCTCCCTCTTCGACCGGTTGATCGACAACCCCAAGTGGGTTTGGGATCAGCGGCTTGGCCCTCCAAGATTTGCTGCCTCATTGCTGGAAGCATTTTGAACTTGCCATCATAGAATTGGATGATGGGAAATTTTTGCAGGAAAGCCCTATATTTGATGGTAAAAAACCATGGTTTCCTGTAAATTTTCAAAACCAGTGATGCCAGCATTTTGAGTGTGTTTTGTATGTTTGTCATATTCATTTCAGGACCCCCCAATGCCAAAAGAACAGAAAAGGACCCCCCCAAAAAGGGGCAGAAATGGCAGACATGAATAGATTAATACTAAAGCATACTCAGGGTTTCTGGGGGTGGTATGCCAAAAATTGGGGGGAAGGAAATGGTCTCCGATGGTAACCAGGTGGTTGATCCTGGGATGCCTGGCACTGGGAGAACACCTGGGGTGTACGGTTTGCGCGCCTGGCCTGTGTGCCAGAAGGTCACTCCAAAAATGTTTCAGAATTGCCTGAAATGGTGGGAAAAAAACGTAGGTCGAATCATCGTTTGACCCAGGTTTTTTGGATGAAAATGCTGAACATGTGCCTCAACACATTTTTGTTTGCCTTGTTTTGCCAGCAAAACATCCCTGGTGCTCCAAAGAATCCCCGCGAGGCTTTCGGGGGACTTGCATCAATTGGTGTCAGGGCTGCAGCACCTCCATAGTCGGAGGGTGTTGCACTCCGATATCAAGGTGAGGGTGGACCATGTGGATCTGGACCATGGACCGGATCACTGGGGCTTGGTATGGCTTGGTACCCGGTAAACTAAGAGTTTGCCAACAGTTTGCGATTGAAAATGGCACATCCATGGTTGATTTACCTATTAAACATATCAAAAAATGGTGGCCTTCCATAGTTATGTGAGTTTACGAGAGGGTATGGGTTCAAGTTGGTTGAAGTTTGCTAGTCGTAGAATAGTAAAAACCATTTTGACCCAGTTAACATGGATGACATTTCAACGGGGTAATGTCCCAAGATTGATAGACTCTATTGGTCGAGGGAGGCCCAAATGATAAATTACTGCAAAGAAATTGGTAGTATTTCAAAACCTGGTGGTTGTTAGGTCGTTATCCAATCGGTTGACGTTAGATTGACCCTCTGGCAATCAAACATGGCTTGCTGGAAGATGCCTTACATAGTTGGATAATTTCTCATTTTAACTAGTTCTATAAGGCCTATTTAGTTCCGTTTTTTCCAGGCCAGCCATGTTTGATGACACCAGCCATGTATCCCTATTCTTGAGACAAAGCCCGAAAATCACATTGTTGGTTTAACATATCTCATAAGATATCCCCACTAAATTTTGATAAGACCATTGCAAGTTGCATTCATTGATTAAACGCCTATTCTTCATGATTATGGGTCCCTTGAACTAGCATGTTTACTTTGTTTTGCTGGTACAATATCCATGAATGCTTGAATCCATGAAAGCATCATTTTGCTTGTCTAAATCACCATTTTGGATGGATATTTACGTCCCCAAACTGGGGTGGAGTTGGCTCCACAAACCGCCAACTGGGTGGTGCTGACTGGAACATGGCTGGATTATGACTTTCCCATCATATTGGGAATGGAATCATCATCCCAACTGACTTTCACTCCATCATTTTTCAGAGGGGTAGGTCAACCACCAACCAGAAATGGTTTCCTGCAGCCCCAAATACCATGGATTGTACATCAGAATCTACGCTTTTACCATTCGCAAGCTCCATAAACCACCAATAAATCCATATAAATCCCCAACCATTAAATCAATGGCCATCTCAGGAACCTAAACTGGAGGTACCTACCAGATATAAGGCCTATATAAGGCCTAAATTTCAGGGGATATACCCCCAAAATATGGCCTGAAAAATGGTACTAACGTACCTCCATCAATTGGATCCTGGATTTCCCATTGATTAAAGCATCATTTTGTCCCCAACCTGGGGATTTATCAAAATTTTGCTTGTCTAAGTCACCAATTTTGGATGGAAAAACAATGAAAAACATACGTCCCCAACCTGGGGATTTATCAAATCCCAAGAGAGAGCTCGTCTCAGGCGGAGAACGCGCTCTACGGAGGTCCTGATGGCAAAATCCTGAAGTTGGCGGACTTTGGCCTCGCAGTGACTGGGCAAAAAAAAAGGGGATGTTGGGGTTGAAAACTGGAGATGGTGGATGCGGATGGTTCAAAATCTTGAAACATGGCTGAAAACATGGCTGAAAACTGGTGGACATTTGGATATTTGGGGACAATGATGGTAAATTCTGCTAACTTGGCGATGTATTTATTGTAGTGTTTTGATGGAAAAGGTGGGATATGATATGATCATGTCTAGAAAAATATCAGAGAGAGAGAGAGAGATACCTCGTAATTGCCCTTGGACGGTCATTCACAATGGCTGGAAATGCCATTGTGGGATTTCCCATTTGTCATCTTGGATGACCATACTATCCGGACATCCATTGAGAGATGGCCAGGAGCGATGAAGGGCGCCTGGCTATCCATTTTCCCTATAATGTTGCTATAGGAAAATTTAGGGAGCCAAGGAGCTAAGAAATTTCTAAGATAGTTGAGGATGGGCCATGATGGGCCTCTACTTCAATGGGCTTCTCCAATCAAATCTTGTGGCTTCATCATTGTCAAGTGCCAGTGCGGGTGCTCATACTTGGTCTGGCTTACAATAGAGGAGTATATATCCATAACATACATATTTCTTTGGTTTTCACAGCATGTGCACATAAGCACACGTACATACATATCTTACAGTATAACTACATATATATATACTGTACACATTATATATATAATATATGTATATACCTTATATATATATACACATATTATATATATATATTTATTTAATTGGATTATATATGTGTAGATACATATGCAGCATCTGCATGTGTCCATGGCAAGAAGACCATCATTTCTGCATCTGCGCCAGGTTTACATCACTCCGTCGGAGGGTCCATTGACCAGCACCTTGGCTCTGGAGGATCACTGGATGGGTTTTCTTACCAAACATGTTAGCCATCAATCGTAGGGATCCAATCCAATGATATAGGGTGTATACACACACACACATATATATATATATATATATGTAGAAAATATATATATATAAGGATTTGGGCAATGGCCAATGCATATTTTTTGGGCTCCAGTGGAGCACGGGCAACGCCCAGGAGCACGGGGGTCTCGATCCTACATGGCGCCCGAGATGTTGGCGGGTGAAGGATATGCCTTCCCAGCAGACATGTGCCGGGCCCCGGGTTTCACAAGATGGAAATCCAGGGCATGTTGTTTTGGACAATTCAGCACAAAAAAAAGATGATTTCATCATGAAGTCCATATGTATAAATAAATATATATATATATAAATAGATGAGTAAATATAATCATATGTTGACATTTTATGGCGTATATATTTATATATATATGTACACATTTCTGAGATCCTGATTGGGCAAATGGTGGTTTCAACCAGCCATGGATCCTCATGATTGGTGACCATGGGGGGAGGGGCGTCTTTGGATGCTTGGGTTGGAACATGTTGGAATGCTGCCCCTAGCCTTCATTATTGATACCCGGCCTGGTAAACATACAAAAAGCTATTGAACATGGCCATAGAAATAGTGGATTTTCCCATTGAAAGTGCTGATTTTCCATAGTTACGTTGGTTTACCAGAGGGTACAGTATTGGCTGGGATACTGGATGGAACATGGCAGTTGACCAACTTGGAACGGATACACGAACTGGACAATATCTGGACAAGACGATCCCCTTGTGATTCTTATTCTTGGGATGTGTTGACTAAACCAACTTGTTGCTAATCTGATTACTGTAATTGCCCATTGTTTGGTCATGAAAACTCAGTACATCCCCAAGCGACTGGATGATGGAAACTCATCCTTTAGCTAACTTTTCATAATTTTTTAAATGGAAAATCACCAGCAGCCAAAGATGATAAGTTTTTGTGGATGAATAAGTGATAGATGCAGCTTTACCATCCCTGCTCCATCATCCCGATATAATATGCCGATATGGTTGCGTTCCCATCGAGATGGAGTTACACATGATATGTTATGATTTGCTCAGTTCATTTTTAGATGTTGCTTTCAGTATCATCTATTTAAACCATACATCTCAAAAAAATCTCATCTCATTATTTTCAATGAATCTTTCAAAAACATCAATCCCCAGATGTTTTGAACACTTCAATCGGACGGCACGACTCGAAAAAATCCGTCCGAAATCCGCGGGCCATCAGCCAATGGCCAGGTGGTCCTTTGGCGTTTTGGTCTATGTGATCCTGGTGGGCCAGTTTCCCATTGGCCAGTCGCGACAGACCAAGTCCGAGCTCACGCGGAACATCATCAAGGTAGAGAAGGCCATGGGAGATGAGAAGTTCAGAAGTTTTTTTTGGGTTTCGACTGGACTTAGTCGTGATTTCATGGGATTTCACTGTTTTAACTGGATTTAGTGGATTTACCCAATCGAAAAAATAAACAGTTGGACCCTGAAAATGACCCTTTTGAGTGGTTTCACTAATCTTCGAACACCGATGACTGCCGGGGTCTATGTTAATTTACTGGAGGGTAGTGGTGATTGAATAGAATTTCACTGTTTTAACTGGATTTAGTGGTGATTTCATGGGATTTCAGGGTGAATAAAAACTTTTTGTGATGATTTCTTGGGATTTAATGTGGGGATGGGGGTGGAAACAAAGATTGGGAAATTTGTGGAAACCTTGGTCAATAAGGTTGATGGGGTTGTGGGTTAAATTAGTGCTTTGCTGGGTAAACCAAGGTGAACTAACTTCAAACCCAGAAACAGAAAAACTCAGCAGTTTATGGGGCGTTCGGATACGGGGGATGGGGTAGGAATGGGAGATATTGCAGATACCTCAATTTCTTGATTCTTGTAGGAAAACATGGGAAAATTAAAGGATCAACCGGTGGAGAAGGACGAGGTTTTTTTCGACATGTAAGTCCTATTTATGGGAGAATCTCACTTAGCAACTGGGTAAACTAGCAGCAGTTCCAGTGCCCAGTCCTTGATTTCTGGGATCCCATCAGAATTCTGAGAGTGTGGGTTGTTTCCCCAGTTCTGGGGATGGGATAACTGGATATAACTGGGTTATTGAGACAAACTCTCATATTATTTTTAACTGGGATAACTGGATTATTGATTAACTCTCATTTTTTTTTTGAGTTCAGCTATGGGACTCATGAATCGGGGACTTAGGATGACACGGTGAAAAGATGCAATTGGATCTGTCTGAAACGGTTCGATTTTTAGTGTATCCTTGTGGCATTTCCAAGTGGAGAAAGGTCGATGATTCACGATATCAGCAAATTCACCTAGAAGTTGGATGATTCTCTATATTGACTAATTATTCAGGTCGGTAGCAAATGCATTTTTGAAGTGGGGAAAGCGGGAAACAATGTGCTTATCTCGCATGTAGAAGGTATGTGGAATCATTGGCGTCAGCTGTCAATCAATGTCAATCATGGTTCCTGTTGGCCCGCATCACTTCACGATAGGATGCATTGTCAAATTGTGAATGAAGTTTTTTGTGGTAAGGGGCTGGGGCATGGTGTATGGTTGTGGGACATGTTGTGAGTTTAGTTCCTGACAAGAAGTGAACTAAGTAAACCTTGGTGAAGGACAGCAGGGAAAGTATGATGTTTCAGGCGGCGCACGCACACAGGAATTTCTATGTTTGAAATACTATATCCATGTGTATTTGCATCTATATATTTAAATAGATAGCCTGAAAGATTAGATTAAACTACACTAGATAGATAGATAAATAGATAGACACTTAGCGGACATATATATATATATACAATTATATACATGTAAAGACACAAATATGCATATATGCAGCATCTGTCTCTCTCTATCTATATGTATATATATATATATATATATTTATACTTATTCAAATACACACACATATGTATATATGATTCATACATATGTATATGAGATTCTTTGCATGTCCTCAGCCATCGGCATCCGTTGCAGGAGCCTGCAAGGGTGACCAACTTGGCGAATAAGTTGCTGCTTGGCTGATGATCCTACGATGGCTGATTTTTTTCGCATCAAAACTGAGAGTTTCACTGATAAAGGGGGAAGCCCAATATACACACGCATATATATATATATATATGTATAGATATACACATATGACTAAGGACCATGATTATACACGGGTTAACACATATAAGGACTATATCCCATAATGTGAACCCTGGATCAATAAACCCTTAGGCTGTTTAACTGGGAGTACCATTTATATAAGTATATTGAAGTATCAGAATCTGACTATTGGGGAAGTACCCCCTCAAAAAAACAAAACCATGGTTTATTAATCCGGGGTTGGCATGATTCACTGATACTATTGGGATATAATGCGATATATGGGGATATACTGGGATATAATGGGATATCTATTATGATATGATGATATTATTGCGATACAATGGGATATTAGCAAGCATTTTTTATGGAAAGAGAATAGAATGTCACCATAGTCTTGACCCATACCCTCTGGTAAACTAACATAGCTATTGAAAATTGCCATTTATAGTGGATTTACCTATTAAAAATTGTGATTTTCCATAGTTACGTTAGTTTACCAGAGGGTATCATACGACGGGAATAGGAACATCAGCTCAGATTGGGCAGGCCTCCCCGCTTCCCCAAACAGGAGATTTGGGGAGATGCTCTAACGATGATTTCCGTTTCGACAGTCTTTCATTGGATTGGTTTACAGGAAATTTTGGAGGAACCCCCCTATATTTAATGGTAAAAACCATGGGTTTCTGGTTAAGATTTTCCCAAGAAAACCAATCCAATGAGTCTTTGTTTCAAAAGTGCCTCATACATGTTTCAATCGTTCTAGATGTGGTGGATTAGATCCACCAAAGAATTTTCTTTTTTGGGGCAAAAAAGTTGAGCAACCTCCGCCTCCTGTCTGAGGAAACGTGCCATTGCTGTGGAACAGGGGAAGCTGGATCGGAGACCGCCCTACTCGAGCGTCAATGATTCTCACCGCTCCTCCTCTGACACTTGTCTACCACTGCATGGTGGGGGCTGGTGACTTGACGTCACATGACGAAATGCGTTATTTGGAAAATATGGTATCCCAAAATCATCCAAGATCCTATGATGAATAATCCTTTTCCATACCTTTCTCAATAAAATGTTTTTTTTCTGTAGTTTTTCGATGTGCCCCATTCTTCGGACAAACTCGAAGAGTGCCAAGCAGGAGCAGTCTGGATGGTATTTTCCAGACATTTGGACTGACCCACTGAAAGTCGGTTCCAAAATGTCATGAGATGTTCTATATATATATATATACATACACGTATATATATATATATGTATGTAATGTAATGTAATGTAATGTAATGGTATGGTATGGTATGGTATGTATGTATGTATGTATATTCGTATATGGATAAATCAGTTCTTCGGAAAATTATTTTAAGGTTTCCTGAGGCAACCAGGTGAGCGTATCATTTTGACGATCTGATGTACTGTACCATCTGGTAATCAAACATTGTTTACATGGCTTGCTGCAAAAAAAGGCTTTTATAGATGATTGTCCTATTAAAACATTAAAAACCATCGGTAGTCCAACAGGAACCATCAGGAAGCTAAATTGGTAAATTGGAGGTACCGAAGGGCTATCCCAATAATATAACAATAATACATATCCCATTATATCCCATTATATCCCAATAATAGGCACGGGCACAAGCTTTAGCTAGCCTCCGTTCGCAAGCCCTTGTATTTTCATGAATATCCAATCAGGATTCTTTCTCTGCCATGTCAGCTTCGCATGCAATTCAAGCAGCATCCATCTTCAACTTACTTGGACAACCTTTTGGCGACCGCTTCTGCACTATATACCAGCTCCTGCTTGTTGTTCTGGCTACATTTTTCTACATCGGCATTTTCTCCAATCACTATTTTCTGGATTTGGCGTATTTAACTCCTTCCTCAAGGCTGTGGGGGAAACCTTGCACAGTCTCTTCTACATCTCATTCTCCGAGTTTGCTGGAACCAGTACCAATTCAACCACCTCTTACTTGGTCTCATTGTGTCTCGTTTCGGTTGCATTATTCTCCTGCTTGCAATTCCAGCCCATTGTCTACTTCATCGACATTTTCTCCATGCACATTTTTCTGGATTTTCACATTTCATTCCAAGATAAAGACAAAGGAGAGGTTTTCCACATCAAGTCCTACTTTTCATTCTTCTTTTGCTGGAATGCACACCCATCGTCATTCTGTACTGAAGGGGCCGTGGCAACTTCCATTTCCTGTTCTCGCGGGACTGAAAGTCCTTGTTTATAAAGTGAAATTTGTTATAAGGACATTTTTGCCTGGAGGCAACTACCACCAAGAAGCTGTTATCATCAGCTCCGACCACACCATGCCACATCACGGGTGGCGAATTTTTATTCAGCTCTCTCCACTTCAATTTTAGGGATTTTAGGGGCCAAGACAAAATTTTCCTTCTAGCAACATCGTAAGGGCCGCCAGACGCGTGCCGGGAGACCACGGTCACTCCATCGTTGTTACTTTCTCCCTTTTCTAGTTCTACCTTCCAAAGCGAGAGACAAGTGGTCACGAACCCTGCTGTGCGTCAGGGGACCGATCTCCTTAAATATATTTCTCCATTGTGATTATTTTTTCTTCGTCGTTTCGTTGGTTTTGGGGTTCGCCTACACAAAACCATTGGGTCCCGTGTTATAGGTGCTGGTTAGTAGCTTATCCTGCAGCCACCGCTTCTCCTGTTCTTTTCTCTTTTTCTCTTTTTGCATCTTGTTGCTCCATTCGGCTGACGGAAAGCTGCTGCTGACGTGTAGTTCGACATGAACTGCATATCGCTGCGGGAAAAATGTCCCAATAAAAAAAATGAGGTATCCACCATGTCCTTATGTCCTTGGCTACGGCGCCAAAAAATGGTCGCGCCTCAATGCTCGCTTCAGCCCTTCAAGCCCCCACTGACGTCGCAGAATGATCACCCCAAAAAACATATGAGAGTGGCATTACTATATACACATTTGTATATGTATGCATGCATATATATATAATTATATATATATATATATCTGTGTATGTAGAATGTGTGTGTATATGTATGTCTTTTCTTGAAACCAGGAGAATATTTGTAAACAAACAATTTTTAATATGTTTTTCCAACGATTCCAGTCGGGCCACGAGGAGTTTCACCGAGTTTTGCCTTCGAGTGAGGGGAGCATGGCCCAAGAGGAGGTCGGGCCATGTCGGATTTAGTGGATTCATGGGTCACGATGTGGGACTTACCCTCTGGTTATGTCAAAAAAGCTATTGAAAATGGCCATAGAAATAGTGGATTTTCCCATTGAACATGGTGGATCTTTTCATAGTTTTTTGTATGTTTACCAGAGGGTATCAATGATTTTAAATCGTTTTAGTTGTAATAGGATTTTCCATTGTCAACCCTCCACTTTGGGGTACCCCCATGACTATGAAAAAAATGAAAAACCCTCATATTAGTCCAATCCGATCAATGTATATCAATGTGGGGTCCCCAAACGATAGCTAAGTTGGTGAACATAACTCCAATAACTATGGTATACTATGGTTTATGATGCGCAAATACCTCTAGTTAATGGGGGTTATAAACCATCTTATAACTGAAAATATTAAAGATGAAATGCAATAAATGTCAAAAATATCCAAACAGGCCCAGGTCGCCATAACTTCATGTATGGTAACCATATGTAACCATGGTGTTAAATGTCATCCCCAATTTCGGGATTTTTATGGGATTTATATGGTTATTTTTCAAATACATGCGTTTATGTATATGGTTCATATGGGAATTATATAGATATTAGCCATCACCATCACAGCACAGAGGATTTTATAACTTTCATATATATATCATATATACATATATATAGATATAAGCCATCACATTTTTTGGGCTTCATGAAATTGGCTACATCCGTTGATTCTTGGGATGCCGGTGATTTTGACCGAAACATCAATATGTTTGCGCATGACTCTCCGTTTTTAAGGCATACATTAAAGCACGACAAATCAAATTTTACACACTTACACACGGGTTGGTAAATGCCCCGTTCTTGGGGTTTAGAACATCACATTCTGTTGGATCTGTTTAAACTTACCATCTGGTTATTTAACATAGCCATGGAAAGATCCACCATTTTCGATAGGTAAACCATCTATAAATGGGCAATTTCCCATGGCTATGTTAGATAACCAGAGGGTACATATTTTGAAATATGGCATTTTTTGTTGGGTGATGTGAACATTTAGGACATTTACCAACCCCCGTACTGTATAGCAACCAACAAAACAGATGCCGAATAGTTGGAAACCTGGAAATTATGGGGAAAACAACATCGTTTTTTTCTGTTTTTTTGCGGGAGTTGCGACAATAGATGGTAAATGATGATCATGTGATCAATGGAAAAAATAATGAGATATTATGGTTTGTGTCATGTGACAGATGTAAAATTTAGATAGTATTTGCGCAGTATTATTATTGGGATGATTAGTGGGTGATTGGGGTAGTCTTGATCATCAGAATGATGGGAAATGATGGGAACCACTGGTTGGCCAACCAGTCATCATCCCCATTCGTATCATCCAGAAAAGGAGGCGGCCCACAACGAAATCATTACACAATACGCGCCAATTCTACTGACTTAAATTACACATCCATATACATCCACATACATCCACATACATCCACATACATCCACATACATCCACATACATCCACATACATACATACATACATACATACATACATACATACATACATACATACATACATACATACATACATACATACATACATACATACATACATATACCCATACATATTCATCCATAACTATCCCAATGACAGGAAAATCTACCCGGAATATTGTCATTTTGTTTCATTTCAGTCATATGGAGATGTGCAGGGAAACCATTCCTGTGGGTAATGGTGACGGCTGAGCCGCCAAAGCTGTGGATTTCACAAGCATGCACCGTAAGGTGAAGGGTCGGCAAGTTGGTTCAAGTTGGTTGTTAATTTTTGCGGGGAGTTGAGGAATCAGGGATAGGTTTGAGCATCTATCTGGATGAATTTGATCATGACCTCACTGTAGCGTCGCTGGAATGATGATTAGTAAGGGGAATCATCCCCTTAGCTGGCCGCAACTTTTCAGGTATTTGCGGGTTTGTGAATGATGATATATAGAATACCATGGCATCATATCGCATCCCCAAAAAAAATCCACTCGTATTTGTCGTATTTAATAGATATTTTATAAACCTCTATTTGCGATATACCCCGAATGAACAAACCATGGTTTATAAATTCGGGGGTAGCCCCCAAATATCCCCAAATAGTGATTCCATTTGATACTTCAATGGTACTTCCCCAATTAAACAGCCTTTTGGGGTAAAAAAAATCTAGGGTTGATATAGTTTATGGGGCTTAGAAACCAACAGTACTGAACAGCCTCACCTTTTTGGCTAGGACTTAAGCAATAGTTCCCCAATCATATCCATATTCCATGAATATTTCATGTCAACAAAGTCAACCCCGAATCAGTAAATGGTTATAGCTCCAACATATCATGAAAAGACCATTTATATTCCATTTACCATCTGGCAATTTAACATAGCTATGGTATATATCTGGCCCATTTATGTATATAGTTGATTTACTTTACCCATGAAAAATGGTGGGTTTCCATCGTTTTTTGTATGTTTACCAGAGGGTTTTCCGCGGTGATTTCCGCCTGTTTTCCTGCCACGACTTCTTCAGAGCTCCAGGTGATCACACGGCACGTGGGCATCCAGATGAAATGCCTAAAGGTGGTGGACTTTATCCGTTCCTCGGAAGTTTTTAATGGGGGAATGGTGGGAAAATGGTGGGAATATCAGCATGATGGGGATATCGATGGAATATTTGGATACACTTTTAGAGAATGGTTGGAATTAGACACCCGCCGGTGTCTGTCCTTCAAGAGGCTGACAAATTCCCCTAGATGGGCATCACAATGGGAACATCATTGAAGTCAGCGGATGATTTTCCGGCAAGCCAGCGTTGGCTATGATGATATATTGAAGCCTGATTTTTGCCACTGGGAATGGAGCCTAACCGGCTGATCTGTTTCAGATCTGACAACTGCTGGGTGCTTTCACAGGATTTTTTTCGACTTTGGGGCGAAGGGATCTTGCCATATCTATTACAAAGTGGCATAGTCACCTCCCTTATGATATGGCATAGACAACAATAATTGTGGTCACACATCCCCAGATCTCGCGGGAAGCAACTGCTGATTTTCTGGAGGGTTTTCAGAGGAATGAGACCATCGTGGATTTTTCCGACCTGGGGTTGACATGGGTTGCATCTCATTATGGCACTTAATGTGGTAAACCCAATGCCAGAAACATCAATCCTTAATCAGTCCTTTGGAGGTCATTGTACATCATCCCAAGTAGGATTATACCCAATAAACCTCTATTGAGGATGGTTTATGTTTGGTTTTACCACCTTCATTTTGTGTTTACCCTCCAGTAATCGAACATAGCCATCGAAAATGGCCCATGAAAATGTACCATGATTTACCTATTAAAAATAGATGGTTTTCACGAGCAAGTTGTGTTAGATGACCAGAGAGTACCTGTCATTGTCCTATGATATCCACCATCTCCCTGAATACCTTGGTGGCGAGGTTTGTTTTTGCAAAGAGATCCATCAGACCGATGTAGCTTGGCGATGATTCACGGAAGTTCGCGGCTGGGCCCAACGGTGCACTAAAAATACTCAAACAAAACAGTGGGGACTTGATAACCTTGATAAGCTCCATTCATAACGGCCAATGGGGGTCACTACATCACTTAAACGATGAGTAACCACCTGCTTCGGGGAGGGCCTTTGGCGTGGGCCGGAGTGGCTTCACCTGGGGATGAGACGGCTCGGTACCTGAAAATGTGGGGAAAACATGGGAAAACCTCGAAGCTACCAACGGATCATCATCATTTTTCCATCATTTTTCCATCATTTTTCCATCATTTTTCCATCATTTTTCCATCATTTTTCCATCATTTTTCCCATTTCACTTCCCATTTCATTTGCCATTTGGATGCCCCAGTTTAGACACACACTGATTTTCTGTGCAGATCTGGGGTCTGAAACCTTCACATGGCTTGCCATCGCACCGAATGGCGATGGCGCTTTGTCTATGCCATAAACCGTCCCCCAATGATCAACTCAATGGGAGATCTCCAGGATCCTAAAATGGAGGTACCGTACCATATTTCTAGCCATATTTTCTAGGGATATTCCCTGAAATTTAGGCCTTATATAGGCCTTTTATATGGTAGGTACCTCCATTTTAGGATCCTGAAATGGCCATTGATCAACAGGGGGGTCATTTTACAACCACCATCCCAGTAGTAGAATAGAGCAATTTCTCTTGAACCACAAGTGGGCGCAGTACCCATAATTGTAAAATTGGGGACAGTTCCGCGTTGGACTGGGGGTAGGCTCCTCTATGCTTAAGTGAAACGGCTCCCACTACCATCACTACCGTCACTACCTCACTACCGCGCAATGGGAACCTGCCAGGTACAGCCAATGAAGCAATTCAAAGCGCTGCCCGGCAATGATAGGTTTGAGGATTAGGTCCTTAGCTTGATGAATTACTACCTATAGCTTTGCTATACTGCTTCGGTTCGTGGTTTCCCAAAAAAGGAATATATCTATATATAATTATGTATATATATATGTGTGTGTGTATATATATAGATATACATAATTTAGCTTCTTGCATATTCTGCCAACACTTGCAGCCCTTGTGGGATGAATGCCAAGAAGTGGCATGATTAATCATTAACGTGTTTCAGAGTGGATTGACCTACAGCCAGACTCTCGCTGGGTATGGCATATGGCGCTGTGAGAGCTGGGGTCATAGATGGTTCCAAGCCACCAAAAAAAATGGAATGTCTGGCAATTCTGCGATGAAAATCCATCAGAATCCGGGATGCACTCTTGCTTTATTGACTTGGGGGGTTCTGCTGAATACTGCTTGATCACTCTGCTTACAGTTTTCCTTTCTGATTCGTCGGCATCAATCAATCAGGTTTTTGATGGCGCCACATGAAATAAAAAATCAATCAACTTTTTGAGAGAACTTAGGGTACCTAATTCAGAAACTACTAGAATAATCTAGAATCCCATAGCATCACCAGTACCCTCTGGTCATCAAACATGGCAATGGAATATCCCTCACACATGGAGGTTTACAGCTAAGAAACCTCATCGCTTGCTGGATTTTTATGGATTTTCCAGCAAGCAACTTTTGATTACTGGAGGGTATATCCTACTAAATATCCGACTAAACATTCCGTTAATCCATTAAATATCCATAAATATCCCGTTGTTGTCAATGATTCAGCATTAATTTCTAGATCCATTACCACAATCATGGCATTGATACCATTATATCTAAGGGTATTGATCCCTTTCAAAACCCTAGAACTCAGCTGACCGCAGCTATGCTTCATCCTAGGAGTTGTTCCAGGAGCTGCAGTACATGAGACAGGTCGGCCGGCGGACTGTGGGGTCAAACATGAGCTAATATGTGCATATATGTATACATAGTTATTGATCTACATATTTATATTTACATGCATATATGTGTATATATAGTTATGCATATACTTATATATAATTATGCATATACTTATATAGTTATATATATACTTATATATATAATTATATGTATAATTGTATGTATAATTATATATAAATTATGGAAGTTAATGGGTTTTTTCCAAGCTACTGAATTATTTTATGATATTTTATTGGGATTTCATGGGGTAATGGGATATCCGATATCGTGGGATGTCACCAGACTTGATGAACATGAGGATTCACCGGCGAAAATAGATGAAAATCGCTTGTGTCAACGTGGCAATCTCATCTTCAATGGCAATACCCTCTTGTATTCTAAGATAACTATATATAGAAAATTACTAGTTTGAATAGGTAAATCAACTAGAAATGGCTTAACTGTTAAATTACCGAAGGCTATCTAAGATGGTATCATCTTTCAGACCCCAAATTCGGCTCCGGGCTTTGGGGTGGACACCTCGATTTTGGGTTGACATGATCACTTTGCTGTCTAGCCATATAACACGATATAAAATGACCATGATGACTACAGGATGGGGCCCCCAAGATAGCGTTCAGTTGCCTTATAAGTGGCTGAATTCTATGGTTTTTGGTAGATATAACGAACTAGTATTCCTGGGGGGTTATTTCATGGTTTTTAAACCAACGTTCACATCACTGGGGGGCCCCAGCCTGTAGGGAAAAAAAGTTGTTTTCAATTGAAAAAAATCCTCATTTAGTTCGATGATTCTCCCAGCTATAAAGCGGCTCATGGTTTGGAAAATTAGCCATGCATATCTGAACTACAGGGTGGTGCCCCATAGTTAGCTAAGTTTGTTTATAAGTCCAATAACATCCAATAACTATGATTTATAGGTGATATATCTATAGTTACAGGAACCGACAGAATTATGGAAAAAAAAAACGTTTCAATTTACAGGCGCCGCCTGTCTATGATAGAAAAGTTACGAACCTTTTTTTTTTCCATAATTATTTTTTCCATAATTATTTTTTTTTCCATAATTCTGTCGGTGACTGTATGTCCATCGATTCGCAATTTGAATGCATTTTAAGGGGGAATATTGAATTATAGAAAATATGTGTCTAAAGATCTGGTATATGCCCCTAAGTCTTCCATTGATATACATAATATCATGTGATGTTCGCAATTTGAATGCATTTTAAGGGGGAATATTGAATTATAGAAAAACAATTGCACCACCAAAACTCATTGTTGTACGTACATACATATGCGGGATGTATCCTTTTGCCAAGCCACCAATTGGGTTGATACTACATACTTGCATTTGCATACATATTTCCATAACCCCCAAAAAAAAGGGGTTTGAATTGTGGATCCATGACATGTCCAACAGGTGGAGCCCCAAACATTAATTATGGAAAAAATAATTATGGAAAAAAATAATTATGGAAAAACCGGTCAATCTGCCCTAGCCCCCTGATTTTACAGGAAAAATCAATTATGGAAATAATGGCCACCTCCAAGAATTATGGAAAAAAAAAGGTTCGGATCACTTCCGGGATATTTTGAACCCTTATGGGGAAAAACCTAATTATGGAAAAATCGGACGCAGGCGCCGCCTGTCTAAGTTGAACGTTTTTTTTTTCCATAATTCTGTCGGTGACCATACTGGGATTATAACCCATTTATAACTGGGGGGGGCACCACCTTGATCCACCTTGTATGTTTAGCAAATATAATTCAATTAGTATTATTACCATTATCCCATTATCATATAGCTATTCATTTCATAACATCATAAATCTCATATGAGGGTTTCTTAAGTCATGGGGGTACCCCCAAATCATCCATTTTCATAGGATTTTCCCTTATATTAAACCATCCAGCCATTGGGGTACCCCCATTTATGGACCCCTGCAAATATATATATATATATATATGCCTCCTATATTCCATACACCTCCATTTTTTCCGGAGCCCTGCATCATGATGTCGGCGCGTTCAGGAGCACCGCGCCACAGAACATGAGAGTCAACTTCTCATCATCAACCGCCGGCCGCTGAAGCGCTCGGACGCGCAAGCGGTGCCTCGGAAAAAAAAACCGATGGTATCCCATTCGGGATTACATGCAGATGTCCTGGGGATATATCCCGAAAGTAGAGATTTCTGAGAAATCCAATGGATTTTCATTGATAGATGCATGGCATACTCTATATTATATATATATGTGCCTAAGCATCTATTTATTTACATCTATATGGATTACATGGGATTTAATGGAATGCAGTGGGGTAAACGATCTGCATTTTTGATGGGTTCTCCAGATCTATGTGAACGTTTACACGAGGGGAAATGGCCTTTAATAATATCAATCTGAATCAATCTGATTACCCTCCAGTAAACATACAAAAAACTATGGAACATCAGAATTTTTAATGGGAAAACTCACTATAAATTGCAATTTTCAATAGCTATGTTAAATTACCAGAGGGTATAACTTATAACTAGTATATACTATGAACAGATTAACCAACTAATGTGGGCAACCCAATAATAAACATATGTTATTTCGGGATGTTGATACCACCCATAAAAACGATGACTTGGGGGCTGGTTTTTGACATTTTTTAAACCACATTATACACTGATACTTGAAGGATCCTCCCACAGTCCTTGTAACTCCACTGGTAATTTAAAAATGTTCTGCATCTTTTTTGGGGGTTTACTATAAGTTCATCCATTGCCGCCAAGTGGTGTTTTTGAGTTATGTTTGTTAGGCATCAACTTGGGGCACCTCGGAGCAAAAGCCATCTTGTTCTGAAATCCCATGTTTCATCATGTTTTTTCAGAATTTTCCATAGTTTGTCCATAATTGGTCCATGTTTTCCATATTTTTTCCATCCATTTAGTCGTCCCCACTTGTGCTCATCGCAGGAGCCACTTCAGAAACCGGAGGACCTCAAGGACGAGGACGACCCGCCCCGACGCCCCACTGGAACCCCGCAGGGTGGCACCATGCCGGGCGCCATGAGCGGCACGCCACAGACAACGCCCGTGGTGACGGCGAAGTCGGCGCCTTCGCCAAGGCGGGGACGGTTTCGAGGTGATGTTTCAGGGTGGTGCCCCATAGTTAGCTAAGTTTGTTTATAAGTCCAATAACTATGGTTTATAGGTGATATATCTATAGTTACTGGGATTATAACCAATTTATAACTGGGGGGGCACCACCTTGTGGGCGATAGCTTGGAAGATAGCTTCGAAGATGTGGATGGAGTACAAGATTAAAGAGACATGACTCATGACTCTTGCAATTCGACTATGCCCGAATCTGCTCTAAGCTCGGCACTTGTTTCGAGGATATTGGGGTATTTTTGGTGATCTTTGCATGTCCTTTTTTTGGAGATGATATATCCTAAGATATGATTCACAATTGACCTCCGGGCACCAATGGAAACAAGCAGAAACCAAAGAAATTGGGAAAGCAGCGACTTCGAAACACCAAGAAAGGTGACAAACGGATTCAACCAGCACAGCGGTGCACTGTTTGTAGGTAGAATTGGGATTTTACGTTTAACATTTGGGCAACAAACATCGGGATTCAATATGCAAGAACAGGGATTAAGCTATACTACTATAGAACAGGAATGGTATAACATAGCGACCGGTTTACATATTACTGATTTAGTTTACCAATATACTATGATGAATGAAATGTGCTATTTCTATCTATTTCTGGGCGAAATCCGGACTTATGAGTGGTGAAGTCAGCTGAACGCCACAGGATGAACAGGCTAACGATTGTGGATAAGTGGGGATAGGGACATGTGGAGGTTTCCAAAGTCATGGGGGTACCCCCAAATCATCCGAATCATGAACTGGTTGGTGGTTTGGAACATCTTTTTTTCCCCATATGCTGGGAATAATAATCATCCCAACTGACGAACTCATATTTTTCTGAGGGGTAGGTCAACCACCAACCAGATAATGATGATTGATGATGATTAATGATTAGTGTTGATTAATGTTGATTAATGATGATTAATGATGATGGAATGGGATATTAAACATAGCCATAAACCAGCCAATAAATCATTCCAGGTTTCCCACTTTCGGGGTTGCTTTCATCGACGGCCAGATCTGGGGTCTTTTTGGCGCTTTCGCCAGCCTGCCATCACAGAAATCAAGGTTTTTCATTGCTGAAAACTTCGCATGGACGTTGAGATAACGCCCTGAATACTCCCACAAATCATTGATACCCTCTGGTAATTTAACATAGCTATTGAAAATCACCATTTTTAATGGGAAAATCCACTATTAATGGTCATTTTCAATAGCCACGTTAAATTACCAGAGGGTAATGGCAGCTTCCATCTTTTTTTGTGAAAGAAAGTTCCGGACAACTCCCATAAATCCTTGAAGCTCGCACAACATCATCAAACAAAATCGCAATGCCCCCCACAATATAGTTATTGATAAGCTAACCAACTTAGCTATCATAAATCAGCTATTAGCATTCAAGCCATTGAATCCCCATGTTTATTGGTTCAATTAGTGAAAAATCATGATTTTCCTCTGGTTTCTATATGTTTCTATCATTTTCCCAGCTTTTCTAGATATTACAAGGTGGTTAAAAAAACACCATTAACATCCATTAACTAGACTAATATCGATATATCTACCATAAAACCCAAAAAAATATTGGAGTTACAAACTCACCAACTTATCTGTCATTCATCAACCATAATGCCATGGATTCTCCGCTTTTCCTGGCGAAATCCATCGTTTTCCGAACTGGGCCCAGGAGTCCAGCTCCACCGGGCGATGGACCGCCACCTGTGGCGCCTTTGAAGCGAAGGTCACAGACTTCAGGGGGTGACCTGGCAGCTGAAAGGGAAAAACACGTGATGATCCCCACACCATCCCACACCTAACATCACCTAACCATAGTTAGGATATATGTAGTTAGGAATATGATTAAGGATGATATATTAGGAATATCATGATAATCCCAAAAGGGGGTGTAAATCCTATGATCCTATGGGAATATAGTAATGATCATCCCCCTAACGAAATGGATCCTATAGGTCCTATGGGGGTGTAAATCCGGCCATAGTGCATGACCTAGTGATTCAACCAAACCTGGTGATGACCTAGTAATCAAAATTTATTGTGATTTAATTTTCTAGTGATTGTTCATTCCATTATCAATTCACCCATGCATTCATTTATCCATATTTATTCCATTTTATTTCCTTGATTATAGGATGATAATTGAGAATCAGTGAGCCATTAATGGAATTCAAGAATAGGAAATAACTAATTGATGATCTAGCAACCAATAAAAAGTGACTAATGGGATGATAGCGCGAATGAATGGAGTTTGTAACGGTATCAACATGATGATCCTAACCAATAATTTAATAATGGGGAATATCGTGATGACCAAAGCTGAATCGTGATGAATAGGGTGATACTTGGCAATCATTGATCCATTGACGGCATTTGATAATGGGATTTAGCAATCAATGAGGTCCTAATCAAAAATGAAACCCCTTACCCCCTAATCAATAATAGGATAATGATATGACTGGGATATACTAAGATTTAGGAATATAATAATAATCCTATGGAACCGGGGTGAAAACCCAACCATAGTGCAGAGTCAATAATATATAGTGATCTACCCAATGATGATCCTAATGATAATGATGATTATGGGAATATCATCATGATCACGGGTTTCATTACATTCCTGTTAAAAAAATACAGTGATTTAATTCCAGGATCATTCGCCCATTAATTCATTTATTCATTTGCTCCCTTCATTATAGTATGATAATTGAGAATCTTGAGAATCATTGACCCACAAAAAAAAGGGATTCAATAACGGAAAGTAAGAAATTGATGATTGTACTCAATCATAGTGACTAATGGGATGACTGTGGGAATTAGTTGGGCTTTGTAACATTTTTGTGAATAGTGATTAAAAGGGAAGGCAACTCATGTGGGAAAAAAACCCAACTGATTAGTGGTATAAACCCTAACCATTAGTTATAAACCATTAGTTATGTTTACCATTCCCAAATGATTAATGTCATAAACCACCCATGACTGGGAATGGTAAACATACCCTCTATTTATGGTGAAATTGGGGATGCTTTATAGCATTGTTGTGCCAACATTAATGATAATCAATGAAGATCCCAACAATGCCCCATTCCTTTCAGTGGTGATATCAAGCCATATCAAGTTGGGATATTCCGTCAGAGTTAAGCCATACATATATACATACCTTATTTAGATTTGCTGAATCCGTTATTTCTGGATTGTAAATTTCTTCTTCCTGCTTTGTGCCGCATTTACTGACAACAAAAAATTGTGTTTGGGAACCCTATGGACCCAGTCCAAGCTTACACCTGGCTGGCCACAACATCGTTATCCCCATCTCTTATGGAACGTCCCGAAGACAACGTCCCCTTCACGTCCCACCTCAGTCGGACAACCGAACAACATTTCACCTGGGGCCATGCAACAATGGAACAGGAATCATGACAAAATATTCAGCAAACATCCAATTTGATGTTAAATCATGAGCAATAACATTAGATTGCTAATGTAACTAATGTAGTTCATAGTAAACTCTACTCTATTGCTGGCCTTAAACTACATAAACAACTAGCAGTTAATTCGGTGAACAATAAACAATGTTAACTATTAACTATATCAATATATATATATCACCAGAATTTTTCACTGTTAGGTACCTATTAGTTCACAATTTTCTTTACATAAATCACTAAATAGTGCTAACAATGTTAGCAATTTTATTTTAGTTTTAAAAAAATGGTGATATTGGTGAACACCTATATTTAAACACTAAACAATGTTACCCTCTGGTAAACATACAAAAAACTATGGAAAATCACCATTTTTAATGGGTAAACCCACTATTTCTATGGCCATGTTCAATAGTTTTTTGTATGTTTACCAGAGGATAAGTGAATCATTCAATCCCATTTTTTCTAGCTATATCAACTACACAATGTCTGGTTGGTGGTTTGGTACTTGCCTTTTATTTTCCCATATATTTGGAATAAATATCCCAACTGACTAACTCATATTTTTCAGAGGGGTAGGTATACCACCAACCAGTTAACTAAACATAGCCATATAAAATGGCCCATTAATAGATGGTTTACCTATTAATAGCATGGTGGATCTTTCCATGGCGAACTGTTAGTCATAACCAGAGGGTAACATTGTTTAGTTAATATAGCTAGAAGAAATGGGATTGAATGATTCACAGAAATCCTTTGGTTTCTACATTAACCAAAAACGATGGTTTCAATCACCATGCTATTTAGCTGGGTAAACAACGTTAACTAAACAGTGCAACGCCATGTGGTGCCCCCCAGTGATGTGAACGTTGGTTTATAAACCATTGTAAGTATAGATATACATAGATATACCTACCATAAAGCATAGTGAAATTGGAACTATAAACCAACTTATCAATGGGAATTTCAGGATCCTAAAATGGAGGTATGTAAACGTACCAATTTTCAGGCCATATTTTGTGGGGATCTTCCCTGAAATTTAGGCCTTATATTTAGGCCCTATAGACTTAGCTAACCAGTTATGTTTGTTGGTTTATAAACCATAGGAATAGTATAGATATACCTACCATAAAACATAGTGAAATTGGAATTGTGTTCACCAACTTAGCTAACTATGGGGCACCACCTTGTAGCTATAACCAGATGATATTTCGACCGAGGCTTGGAGGACGCTGGAGACGAAGGACGCGATAAGTTGGAGCCGTTGAGGCGCCGGGGAGCTTCGCCATGTTTCGAGATGCTTTACCCTCTGGTAACATGGTATTTCTAGGGTATTTATAGGGTATCTATATGGTATTTAATTATAGTATTTATAGGGTATTTATAGGGTATTTATCGGGTATTTATAGTATTTATAGGGTATTTATGGGGCATTATATTATATATTGATGATATATTGTATTTACCTTCTGGTATTTTGTTACAGTTCTCTGTGGTATTATATATATATACATAATATGGCCCACATGAAAAGAGGGTCCTTCAGGGTAAGAGGATTGACAACGGACTGAGGAAGTACGGAAGTGTTTAGCTGCACCTGGTGTGCTTGTGAAATGGCCCACGGTGATCCAACTTTACTTTTCCCAAGGTGTCGTGCATGTTAGTTTCCAGGCTTGCGCCTCTCTCTTCTCGCACCATTTATCCCTCCCACAAATGCTAGCGTGGGGTTTGGCTGATTGTCCGCCTGGAGGGAGTCCATTTATAGTTGATCTACCCATTAAAGATGGTGATTTTCCATGGCTGTTTGTATGTTTACCAGAGGGTAGTCATAACAGAATATAATTGGTGAATGAATGATAGTGACAGTGGTGAATGATGAATACTTTTGATGGTTTCATGATGAATGATACTGGTTTATAATGGATGATGGCGTGCAAAACAATGAATGATAATGGTTGATGATGAAAAAGGGTGAATTGTACGAGGTGAGACCCCCATGGCCGAAGTAACTTTTTTTTTTGGTGGGGTAAGGCAAGTGCAGTTGCCATACCGCCTAAGTTTTGGACTGACTTGGGGGCCATACGATCATCATTGTGCGCCATATCAACTATTACCCAAACGGTTGAATGTTTGCTGTGGAACACCGCTGATTCATGGATCATTTACCTCTTAAGAATGGTGATTTTTCATAGCTATGTCAGATTACCAGAAGATAGTCACTGAGTCATCTTAGAACTTAGATGGAGGTTGGTTCAGCTTGCTTCATGCCTATAAGCTTGAAGGTTCTTCAGGGTCAGCGAGCATGGCAGCAAGCATCATTTTGCATGTTAAGCGGTTGATAGGGGAAAAGGATCATGTTTCATATGGGTTCGTCTGAACATAGAGTGCCCCGAACCCCCATGGATTATCATGATTTTCCTGTCAATTTGCTATATACATACATACTATATACATATACATATATTGTATATATATATATATGTGTGTGTTTAGAGTTTCGTTTGGGGACAGGGTATCGAAGGTGAAAATTGTGAAAAAAATATATTTGAGTTTTGCATTGATGGGTGCACCAATGCGCCCTAGTCCTAACACCATGAAGGGAACGCTGTTTTGCACCTCTGGCACGTTTGTGGTTTCAGCCAAGACTAGCTGGTGGACATTGGTGGACATCGTTCCCTTCTAGAAAGTTTCTTGCTAAGTGGTCAGCCCGGAAACATTTGGAAACCAATTGAGGTTTCAAAAATTCGGTGTGGTATGGCCGGTTTACATGGCTTTCCCGCCAATTTCCATGTATAGTACCCCATTTAGGCCACACACGTTGGTCCTTGCAAGCATTTTGGGGAGGAAGAAGAAATCACATCAGAAAATTGTGGAATCACAGTGGGCAGCCCAAATTCATACAACATGTTTTACAATTTAGATATGAATCTAAAGAAATTTGGATCCCAAATCATTTTTTCGGAAGCCCTAACATGCTTCTGCAAAGAGTGAGTTTCATGGGAGGATTTCCGCAATGTGTCTTGGAACATGTAGTCCACGAATGCGAAAAATGAACCAGGAGATATAGAAATCCCGAGGTTGATTCTCTTTCTTCAAAGTTTCCCATTTCGATAAAAACATGTGAATAACTGGAAACTGGGAAACATCATCACATACGGTTTGTTTATAGAGAATGCCCAAGAAATCCACTGTTTGATCAATAGTTTACTTATTGAAATGCATGGTGTTTTTTTTTGGGGGGGTTTAGTATTCCCCCACTGTTTCCAGGCGGAGATCTTTGACGTCTCATTCCTTGGTACCTTGGTTTTCCGAAAATGGGGGTAGCCCCATGACTTATGGGTTTTGAATGGAGAATCCATATGAAAATCCTATGATCATGGAGGATTTGGACGAATTTGGATGGATTTGCATGGTTTATCATGGAAAAAACTATGATTTATGATGGATGAGAACTAGGGGTACCCCCATGACTTAGGACACCTCACAGATGAGTAATCCTTACAGTGGCCCCCTGGAACAAAGACTTGACAAGCTGGGCCAGTTGCCAGCATGTCGTTAGGAATCACAACGAAGAATGGGGATGGGTGCGTGAACATAAAGCGCATAAGAACAGTTATAAATGACACAATTATACATGATTCATGATGACCAGTCACAATTACAATGACAAGGGCTTGGGCTTTTTGCGCCGCTGGGGACTGGTTTTGTAATCTAACCCAGAGCTGACACTCCCCATGAAAGCAATTGTAGTGAGCCAGGCGAGAAGTTTGTTCAAGCGTAGCCAGGTTTGAAACTATTTACTGAGGTGACGGTACAAAGTGACACCCCTGGACGATGTATCAGCAATCATCAAATGTGTTTTTTCTTTCCAGGGTATCTACTTGAACGATCCTGAACCCGCATCCCACTTAGTAATTGGGTAAAAATAACCTGTAAGACCCAGTTATATGTTGAATGTATCCTCCGGTAATCAAACGTGGCAATGGAAAATTCGTTATTGATGTATTTTTACGATTAAACATTACTGGTTGGTTTGGAACATTTTTTATTTTTCCATATCTTGGGAATGTCATCATCCCAATTGACGAACTCGTATTTTTCAGAGGGGTAGGTATACAACCAGTTATAATTTTTACGATTACCTTCTGGTAAACATACAAAAAACTATGGAAAATCACCATTTTCAATGGGTAAATCCACTATAAATGGCAATTTTCGATAGCTGTGTTAGTTTACCAGAGGGTATGGGTCAAGACTATGGTGACATTCTATTCTCTTTCCATAAAAAAAAGAAGATTGCTAATATCCCATTGTATCGCAATAATATCATCATATCATAATAGATATCCCATTATATCCCAATAATATCAGTGAATCATGTCAACCCCGGATTAATGGTTACCATGGAAATTTTACCAATAAATATGGATGGGGGTTTTTACCGGTGAAAATTTTCCCCAACAAACCAATCCATTGAGTAAACATTACCCTCTGGTAAACATACAAAAAGCTATTGAAAATGGCCCAGTCGACATAGTGGATTTACCCATTAATAGCATGGTGATTTTCCATAGTTTTTTGTATGTTTACCAGAGGGTAAAACCCCCATTGAGTTGGGGGACTTCCCCGCCATGTGAATTTATCCGAGGTCGACAATTCGCAAGGGATGTCACTGCTGCAGGTGCCACAGAGGCGCCGACTGAAAAGGGGGACACCGACTGGGTGAGATGACGATGGAAAAGCCTGGTTAACTATGGCCGGTATACCATTGTTTATAAGGGATATAACTATGACGAATGGGTTTATAAATGTTTATAAAGCAACTTATAACCTATGGTTTATAGATGTTTATAGTTTATATTTGGGATATGATAGATAATGGGTTTATAAAGCAATTGACATCACTGGGGGGCCTCACCTTGCATCCCAAAATCATGGCACGATGGTTAGGACCTAAGGGGAATCATTCCCTTAGATGGCCAAACTTATCAGCTATTTTCATCTATTTTTGGCATTGGGTTAGTGAATGTATATAATTCAGATTAATTCAGCCAGAGTGTTTGGATGGTGCAATAGTCTTTGTCAGGGATCACCATTTAGGATTTTAGAAGGGCCAAAACTCGGACAGTTGAATTGGACACAGCGAAAAAAACTGATGGCTGATCAACGTGGGCACAGAAACCGGATGGTTTGGTTCACAACAGGCCCACATACATAGCGTGCGCACAATAGATACATAGATGTATATATTATTATTACTAGTATTATCAGTATTATATTACTATTATATTGTTATTATTATTGCTATTAATATTATATTGTTTTTGTTATTACTACTATCATACTATCATTATTACTATTCTTATTATTACTATTATTTATTTATATATATACATATTATACGCCCATCCCCCCAATATTAAACACCTTCTGAATGGTCCCAATTATGTGGAAATCCCCTACTAAAGCATGGTTTCTGGGGTGTTTAATATAAGGGGAAAGGGATTATGCACCATAGTACATTCTATAATTACAATTAATTATATATGGAGTACAGTATAATACATATATAAAGATAGTTTTTCATAGTATAATAATGTGTACATGATATGATATTGTTACTTGTGAGGCGACTGGGGTCGCTTCAAAAGCTGGTTGCCCAGCCACCGAGTAACGCTCGCGCGCTTTCGTTTCGAGGCGTCGGAAGTCGGCGTCGAGCTCCAAGGAGCTCGACTCGGCGCAGCCCAGCAGAAGTCACAGCGACTTTCAAAGTCAGATGCTAATGGAGGTGGGGCCTCCTAGGGGATGGCCCAATCCCAGTATCCCAATAAAAAGGGCTATGGTTGTTGAAAGTTTGTTCAAGCCAAAAAACCGTAGAAATTTTCATAATATACATACATTTACATATACCATCTGGTTATTTAACATAGCCATGGAAAAAAGCCCATAGAAATAGATGATTTTCCCAGCTAGAAACCTCCATTTATGGTTGGGATTTTCCATGGCTATGTTAGTCATAACCAGAGGGTATCACTAATGATCTAGCTAGATTGAATGGCTGAGTTTTTGTGGACTTTTGTGGGTCATAGAGGTGATGGGATGGGTCATGATTCCCATGGGAGTCATGAGATGGCCATGGGTTAACCTGCCAATGGACTTTCAGAAAATGATCTTCAAAGTGACATAGGGGGCACATTTAGACTATAGTTAATTATGTTAATTGGTTAGTTAATTGTAGTTAGTTAGTTGGTTAGTTAGTTAGTTAGTTAGTTAGTTGGTTAGTCAGTGAGTGAGTTAGTTAATGGGTCACCAGGGGGGATGGACCTGGGTTAAAAGTTCGCTGATGGGATGGGTCAGCATTGGAGCACACAATTCGTGTTTATGGATAAGCGCGCAACCAGGAGAGCTATGGGATTACGATGATGAGATAATTATGGTGAGTTAGTAAGCGGATTATGTGGCTTCAAAGTTCGACCGGTGAGTGGATGTAAGTGGATTTTTTTAGGCACAGAAAAATGAGCTGATTGGTGAATTTTTTGTTTTGTGGGCCATAAGCTAACCATCATGATGACCGATTTTTTTAAATGAATTAGAACATATTATAAGCCACTTATTATATCCCAAAGATCATCCATTTACGTACTAATTAAGCTCCATTTTTTTTTGGGTGATGGCGGGAAAGGCCTTGGGGATGGCTGGTTGGTTACCGGAGTGTATGGTGATTGAGTCTGCGCGAAATGGATATGATGGTCTTTTTCAGTTGATCCATCTTCCAACGCTACATTTACCCTTAGGTAAACTAAGATAACTATGGAAAATCACCATTTTTAATGGGTAAATCAACTATCAATGGCAATTTTCAATAGCTATGTTAAATTACCGGGGGGTATATTGGCTCCATTTATGTTTTGGATCAAACGAGCGTTCTCTGATGATTCGAGCTGCTTTAGTTCATACCTTGAGATATCGGAGCTAGGTAAAAACAAACCGCACCAACGAGCGCAATAAGGCGCAATTATGCGCAAACGAGCGCAATCTCAAAAAATGTTTTTTTTTTTTAAGCTTTTATAATTGTGAGGAGGTCATAGGGGGTCTATTCGTTGCATAATTTGGGGCAACTCAAAACAGACATATTTTCTTCAAACGAGCATATTTATTCTCGAGCGTAAATATATATATATATATTTATATTGATATAGCAATGGATGGTGAAGGATTACTGGAGAGTAAACTCCCTGGGGTACCTTTTGAGACTTCAATCCTTCAATCCGTATGCCATACGCGCAAATCAGCTTGAAAAAGATATAAACACTTTTTTTCCGGGGGTATCTAAGGCTGCCAGTGACAATACGTTGAACTTGTCAGTTTTCTTCAAGCAAATCCAAAGGAAAAAAGATGCAATCAGCAACAACACGTCAATGCATTTTTAATAAACAGATAAACATACGTATATAATCGTACATATATATATAATTCATTTGAATTTTTATATATGTTTGTGTACCTATGTCTGCCAAGCAAGAACACCTCAGAAATTGCGATATGAACCATGGGCTCGCACAAACATCGCAGTAGCTAGTTTTTAGCACAAATACATTCCTCAACTCCTCAGTGTGGGGTAAACACATCCTGGAATGAGTGGGCATACATGATATACACTGATGCATTCCAGTATGCAAGTGGTTTGTTACAGGATGTTGCCCCTCATGCCAGGAAGTTTAGAAGTCAAGCTTCCGACTTATGGACAGAGGAAGCAACAGTGGTGAGAAGAGTCAGAGAAGAGAGAGAGAGAGTCAGAAGAGAAGAGTCAGAGAAGAGAGAAACAGAAGAGAGAAGATCAAAGTGCGAGAAAAGGTAGAAAAGTCAGGAAACACTGTGTTTTTCCAATGTTTTTTGGCTCCGGAGGGTCGAAGAGTAGGCTAAAGCGGGGGTGCGGAGCCATTTGTTCGGATGAGAGATCAAAAAATTGCCACTGCTGTGGAACGAAACGTTCAACTGTCTTTTTCCGTGGCAAGCGTGATGGGTTCTCTACCTCGCCAAAAGTGAGCGAAACCTGACGGCTTTCTGGCAATCTCAAAAATCATGGCAGACGTGGGACGTTTGAACAGGATCTGCAAAGATGCATTACACAGGGTAGGCGCGGTACAAGAGACATGTCCGCAGACATGTTCGGAGGTCAGGGCGCTGATTTCCTGAGAGGGGTTGTATTTTTGGAGCATCAAATCCTCAGGTTTGCTGAGGTGGTTTTGCGTGACAGGTGCAGCACTTCGCATGACTTGGCCTTACTTAGAGAGATGGGATGGAAAAATGCACGAAGGCATTGGTACAAGGCTGGTTCTGCACTCGGCTTTCATCAGCTTTCCATTTTCGAAGGAAGTCTCGCAGAATTGCTTCGTTTTTTGACGTTGTCAAAAATTCAAAACATGAGGATGAAGCCTCGCAGAATTTCATCGTTTTGGAGCTGTGAACATCTTTTTTTTGAGGAAGTATCGCGGTTTTGGACCTGTCAACTTCAACTTTTCAAGGAAGCCTCGCAGAAGTGCTTCGTTTTTTGTCAATCGCTACTTTTGACTCGCACAATTGCTTGATTTCAGATAGATGGATAGACAGATAGATAGACAGGATAGATAGACAAGAAAGAAAGATAGACAGACAGACTGATAGATAGAGGGGGAGAGAGAGAGAGAGAGATAGATAGATAGATAATGATAGATAGAGAGATGGATGGATGGACGGACAGACGGAAGGATGGATGGATGGATGCATGGATGCATGGGTGGATGGAGGGGTGGATGGATGGACAGATGGAGACATAGAGGGATCGAGAGACGGAGAGATGGATAGATGGATGGATAGATAGATAGACACACAGACTGATAGACAGATAGATAATTAGATAGACAGACAGATGGATAGAGAGGTAGACAGGCAAACAGACAGACAGACAGACAGATAGATAGTTAGATAAAAAGACAGACAGATAGTTAGCTAGCTAGCTAGCTAGCTAGTTAGTTAGTTAGTTAGAAAGAAAGATAGAGAGAGAGAGAGATAGATAGATAGATAGAAAGATAGGTAGGATTAGATCGGATTAGATAGGATGAGATAGATAGGATTAGATAGATAGGATTAGATAGATAGGATTAGATAGATAGGATTAAATTGATAGGAATAGATAGATAGGATTAGATAGATAGGATTAGATAGATAGCATTAGATAGGATTAGATAGATAGGATTAGATAAGATTAGATAGATAAATAGATAGATAAATAGATAGGTAGATCGATTGATAGATATGATAAATTGATAGATTTGATTGATGGATTTATGGATTGATGGATTGATTGATTGATTGATTGATTGATTTATAGATAGATTTATAGATAGATAGATAGATAGGTAGATAGATAGATAGGAAGATAGATAGATAGATAGATAGATAGGTAGATAGGTAGATAGGTAGATAGGTAGATAGGTAGATAGATTGATATAGGATAGATAGATAGATAGAGGATAGATAGATAGATAGATAGATAAATAGATAGATAGATAGATAAATAGATAGATAGATAGATAGATAGGTAGATGAATAGATAGATAGATAGATAGAGAGAGATAGATAGATAGGTAGATAGATAGATAGATAGATACATAGATAGATAGATACATAGATAGATAGACAGACAGATAGACAGACAGATAGACACACAGATAGACGGACAGATAGATAGGTAGTTAGACTAATAGATAGACAAGCAGACAGATAGAGAAAGATAGAGAGAGATGGAAAGAGACAAGGAGACAGAGCGGGGAGAGAGAGAGAGAGAGAGAGACCCAGAGCCTAAACCGCCTTTCGGTCCATCAGTGGGCTCGCTCTGCCAGCCAGGCGTCACAACAAGGCTCCCCTATACGTTTCCTAACTTTGAAACTTCCTCCACCGCCTTGTGCCGTACTATGTTTTTAGGATGTACGGCAGTTGCAAACCAATACATCGAGAACCATTAAAGTTTGTAAGGGATATGAAGATATAATTACAGTTGGATACCTCCTTGCAGCAGTGACCGCCAGCATCGTCAGCACTGGGTCCTTAATAGAACCTATTTCCTTTTTCTTCGCATCCCAGAAGTTCTTGAGGGGAACACGTTTTGCTCGGAAAAACAAAAGACCGATAATTGGATAGCGAAAATCCATGGTTTCCCCGTTTCACCCTTTTTTCCAAAAGCCAGCTACTGGAGACTCAGTTGCAGGCGCATGAGAAAGATTTGAGACCCAGCAGTGAAGGGCACCAGGAGCTGGGGGGATCTTACAGATGTCAGGTCGCATGATGGTCCCCATTTTGTACTTCAGAGGCACATGAAAAAGTGGTGCCTGTAGGGGTTGACCTGAGGCAGTTTTTCTACTTAATGATGGACTCATGCTCCACATTGAACCAAAGCCCCATTGATCTCTGAAGCACAAATCGTTTGCGGTAGGGGTTTCATTACCTATTCAAAATTGCAAGAAATCCGCACAAATCAGAAAAAACATGAACCAACGTAGAGGAAAACTTCAAAGCATGTCAGAGCTGCTCAGAAACCGAAACAAATCCAGACTTCACAAGCGAATATTCAATGTCATCACATTTTCAAATCCCATATCATGAATCATATATCATTATATCATCCCATCAAATATCCGCCAAAAAATAACAAAGACCTCACAAGGTGGTGCCTGCCAATCATAAGTTGGTTTACAGCACCAATAAACTAGTTTGACGTATCTACCAGAAGAATCCATAAAATCTATAGCTATTGGATTTTTTAAAAGTAACCAACTTAGCTGCCATAAATCAGCAATAAATGCCATTGAATCCCAACTTTTCCTGGTGAAATCATCATTTTCCTATGGTTTCTATGTTTTTCACATACGCATGGTGGTTTATAAACACCATTAACTTTAGATATCAATAGATCTACCACAAAGCCCATTGGTTTTGGAGTTACTAACCAACGTTCGCGGATGCACCGTGGTGCATGGATTCCTCCGTGGAGGAGCACCCCTCGGTCTCCGAGAGTTCCCCACGCGGTGCAAAATCCTCGGCCTCCAACGCCCGGGCGAACGCCCCGGCGGCACCCGTGGACGCGGAGCCAGAGGACGGCGCCCCTGCGGAGCTGGAGCGAGGGCAGATGAAGCCCGGCAAACATCATGGGTAATGATATACTAATGGCTCATGGAATATTAGTGGTATATCAATGGCTAATGGAATATGAATGGTATATTAATTAATGTTATGTTCACCTCTATAGCTTATTCTGATAATTTTTAACTTGAAAAAAAACAAAAAAGAAGGAACACAAATGGAAAATCAAAAAGCAAAACTTCAAAACTGAAAAGAACAGGAAGCAAAATATATGGAAAAAAAGGAACGTCAAAAAGGGGGAAAACTGTGAAAAAAAGGACGTGTCCATTTGCATTTTTGTTGCCTTTTTTTTGCTTTTATTTTGCTTTTTTGGGCTTTTTGCCTGGAAAAAAGCAAAAAAAAAGCAAGCAAAAAGCAAACAAAAAGCAACAACACGCAAATCGAAAAAGCAAAAAAAGCAAAACAAATGGACGATTCCATTTTTTCCCATTTTTCCCCTTTTTGTCTTTCCTTTTTTTCCCTTTTTTTTTTCCTTTTATTTTGCTTTTGTTTTTTGGATTTTGCTGATTTGCTTTTTGTTTTTTCCTTTTTTTTTTGTTTTTTTTTCGCGCTTTTTTGCAAGTTTTAAGAAAGTTAGAATAAGCTATGGTCTGGCTGACATAAAATTAATTGTTAATGGAATATAAATGGTATATTGATGGTCAATGGAATATTAATGGAATATTAATTGATATTAATTGTATATTGATGGTTAATGGAATATTAATGGTATACTCTTTTAATGGTTAACGGAATATTCACGGTATAGGAATGGTTAACGGAATATTCATGGTATACCAATGTTTAGTGGAATATTGATGGTATACTAATGGTTCGTGGAACATTAATGGTATAATGGTTAATGAAATTTTATGGTATATTAATGGTTAGTGGAAAATGAATGGTATACGAATGGTTAATGGAAAAAATATGGTATATTAATGGTTAGTGGAATATTAATGGTATACTAATGGTTCGTGGAATATTAATGCCATAGTAATGGTTAATGGAAAATAATTCGTATACTAATTTAATGGTTAATAGAGCATTGATGGCATACGAATGGTTAATGAACAAATATGTTTTTTTAATGGTTAATGGAATATTAATGGTATATTAATGGTTAATGGAATATTAACGATATATTCATGCTTAATGGAATATTAAATGGTATACTAATGGTTAGTGGAATATTAATGGTATACTAATGGTTAGTGGAATATTAATGGTATACTAACTAGTGGCTCATGGAATGCTAATTTAATGGTGTACTAATGATTAATGGAGAATTACTGGTATACTCATGGCTAATGGAATGTTAATGGCATACTAATGGCTAATGGAATATTAATGGTATATGAATGGGATAGTAATGGGATATGATATAGTTAATGACTAACGGTGGTATAGTCATGCGATTTAGTGAATAATGTTGGTAAAACAATGCCATAAACCACCCATGACTGGGAATGGTAATGATAACACCTCTAAAAATGGTGATGACTGGGGGATGGTTTATGGCATTGTTTTACCCACATTATACTAACTGATCTTATTATGTATGATCATTGGGATATGAATTAACCAAGTTGATACGACAAAGGATGGAAACATGGGATATTAACTGATATTATTGGGATATGTTTTATTTTTTATAAAATACCAACGTAATTTGAAATGGCACAAGGTGGGGCACCTGTTGATGATTCTGAAGTTGGTAAACATAAGTAGGGTTGCCTGTGGTTTATGGTAGACATATCTGATATCGATTGGGGATCCCAACTTGTAGGAAACGATGGAAATGGGAAAACCGGGGGTACATATATCGATATGAGATGAACCATAGCTAATGGATTTTTTCATATCCCAATTGGACATACTCCAGAAACATGGGTTTAATATGGGTTATATATGGTTGATATTCCGCAATATTGGTTGATTTATATGGGTAATGCCCCTTTAGGGGTATGTAAAAAATATCTATAATCTATTCCATAGGGATGTGAACATATGGCTTAATCAATGTAAGTAACAAGGCTTACCGTATATTTCATCCTAATTAAAAATCACCGTTGATTGATTGAACCTTCCAATTTCTGTATTCGTTGTCCTCCAGTTAGCCATGAAACAATTGGGAACGTGATGAAAAATTGCACATGATTACTTCGCATGAGAATATGTGTCCATATGGGCGTGCAGACAGGGTAGAAATTCAGCAAGATGACGACGTCTTCGCTTCATAGTGTTCAAGGTGCTGCCTAATAACCTAATATGATATATGGGTATGATAACCCTTAAAAATGGAAGATTGATAATTAAGAAGGGGGTATTTGCTACCAATCAGCACAACTTTAGCAAAACATGGTTTTGCCATCAAACGTGGGAAAAATGGGTATAACAAGCATCAACGTTTTTAACCATCTATAAACCATTAAACCCTAAACCACCTATATGGGTGTTATCCTTGGAAACTTGGAATTCTCAGGAAACCAACTGGATGGGTGGCGTAAACCATGGAAATATCCGATTTAAACAGGTAAAATCATTGAGAAAACAGGGATTTACCTATCAACCAATGTGGTACCTATCAACCAATTGGGATTCAACAATCAAAATATTGGGAAATTTTGCGTGAGTAGTTGACTATTTTATTTTTCGGGATAACTGGGGATGTATATATTACATACATATATATATATATACATCGTCTTCAAACAGTAGGGTATGAATGGGAGACTTCTTAAGTAGCAAAGGGGTGTGAAAGAAACCACAACGGCGATATTTCGATTCAACCGGCTCAATAAAGATTGCTATGGGCTGTTGAAGCGGCCAAAATGCATCATGAGGGGGTACCCTCTGGTAGACTAACATAGCTATGGAACATCACCATTTTTTTCTTAATAGATAGATCAACAATAAGTGGCGATTTTCAATAACCATGTTAGTTTACATGATGGTATGATTCGATGGGAAAAACGCATAATAACCTTTTCCCAAAGTGACCCTCCAAAAAGCGTTGGGTTTGCATCTTTTGGGTTTGTGTCCCCATGATGATGGGAGGGGCTGGTGGTTGGCAAAAAAATTGCGTGAAACTAAGGGGAAAAAAACATGTTTGACAATACGGGTTTAAAACGTTTTAGCCATGGGACAATGGGGGCTTCAGTCAAAAAATCTGGGCAAAGCTTGACAACTGGGATCATCGTTAAACTGGGCGGATTTCAACGATGAGAACTTGGGATCCTTTCCCCAAATGGCCAGCTACAGAGGCTGTTTTCTCATTGAACAATTCGTAATTGGGCTGTGCATCATTGGGCTGTTGTGTGGCAGGAAAAGGTTTTTCAACCACATCATTTTTTTCTGGAAAATATGAGCACAGATGAGAACGATGAGAAATCAGAGAATTTCAGAAATAAAATCTAGCATCCCTTGTGGAAATTGAAGCAATGGGATAGATTGGGCACGTGAAAATGGTATAGAGATTTTAGAAAACACAAATTCAGATTTCACCCTTTTTTTGTCACCTGATTTCATTTGCTGTTCCTGATTGGGTGCATTCAATGGTGCGGAACTCGTATTAAGCATCCAACGTTTAAAGAAAAACCTGGAAGGGAAGGGCTGCAGTCGATAGAGGGGCGACTCATGATGGGGTGCTCCCCCCCCAGTTCCACCACGTTTTTGTACCCGGAAATCAAACATGGCAATGGAAAATCAGGCATATTATGTGTGTATATATATATATATTAAAAAAATGTATATATGTATATATATGCATATATGTATATATGTAGGGATATATATATATGTACTATACCATTTATAGATCATTTTCCCACTAAACACTTCCCAAACAGGTGATTTCGTAGCAGCCAAGGACGAAAACCTTCAGCCGCATGAGTTCGCGTGGTTCACGCGGGGCACGAAGCATGCTGAGCCGCGACTTTTCGGGGTTCGATTTGCTCCACAACTTGGCCAACACCAACATCCGAGGTGGGATAGATGGGATAGCCTCTGGGAAGTCAACTATTTCAGACTATTTCTATGGATTTTCAATGGCTACTAATATATTAAATTACCAGAGGGTATGGTTTTGCGGTTGGCGGGGATATGGGCGTTTCCATAGGGAGTACCCCGATATTATCGCTTTTTAGGGTTTATTTATTTCATGGAAAATCACCAAAAGTCGATGGAGGGCATCTCTATTTATTATTTTTGGACACCTCCATATGGAGACGGTTAGGGGGTTGGGGCATCTTGGAAGTGGCGGAAGTGGCAATGCAGCTGCGAAAACGCTGTCGGTGTTGTCCATAAGATCGAAGGATCATTCTCTTGTTAATCACAGTGGAACGACCTGGTCTGATTTGCGTTGTTTTTAGTGTTCCGCTTTGGTTTCATCATGTTTCATAGTTTCGATGTTTGAAAATTTCTTACTATTTACCATCGCTTTGGAAAGTCATTTTTTTTACATGGGCGCATATATAAATGGATAATGGACTGGTTGGTGGTTTCAAACATTTTTTATTTTCCATAATATATGGGTTGTCATCCTTCCCATTGACTTTCATATTTTTCAAGATGGTTATTGCACCACCAACCAGGAAATGGATCATGGACCATTTTCCGCCGCAGGTTAGTTTTCCAATCTTCAACTTACAGAAATCCCCCAGATGCTGAAGGGTCTGAAAGGTACCCATGGGTAGCGATTCCATCGGTTAATCATCACTATGAAAGTGGCACTTTGGGGGAAAAAAACATTCTCAGACACCAAAAAGTCCTATTGTTTGTGATTTATATCCCATTATATACCATGAAATTCCATATTAATGAGCTGGTGTATCCCATTATTGGTTCCTATGGTATATCACCCATTTTCAGACACCGCCATATCTCAAATAATCTCAAATCCATATGATACGTAGATAATCTAACATGTATTACACATGAATCAAACATTAATCGTCCAGTAGAGAATCATACATTAGATTTTCATTTGTCACACACACACATATATCATAGAACTGGATGATGGGAAAGTTTACAGGAACCCCCCTATATTTGATGGTAAAACCAGTAAAACCATGGTTTCCGGTTCAGATTTTCCCTTAAGCCAATCCATTGAATATATATATATATATCTGGTTGGTGGTTTGGAGCATTTTATATTTTCCATATATTGGGAGTGTCATCATCCCATTTGACTTTTATATTTTTCAGAGGGGTAGGTATACCACTAACCAGTATATATATAATATTATACCCTCTGGTTATTTAACATAGCCCATTTATAGATGATTTTCCCAGCTAGAAACCTCCATTTATGGTTGGGATTTTCCATGGCAATGTTAGTCATAACCAGATGGTATATCATATGTTTCAAACGCTTTGGCCGAAAAGGGATCTATGCAGGTGACTCATCTTGGCAGCTGGAACAGAGTGGCTTTGATGCCTCCACGTGTCATGGCGTCAAAGGATGGTTGGTTCCTGGGTCAATGGGAATTTCAGGAACCGATGCCGACTGGAGGTACCTACTAGGTTCCTACTATAGAAAAAAGGCCTATAATATAAGGCCTATGTAAGGGAATATCCCCAGAAAATATGGGAATATGGGGATCCAAGAAATGGAAATAGTAAGGGAATGAATGAAAATGGGGAATATGGGGATCCCAAAATGGACCAAGAAAATATGGGAATATAGAAGAAATGGGAATATTCATGTGGCTTGAAATATGGTACAGTACCTCCATTTTAGGATCCTGAAATTCCCATTGATTTTATTTGAAGGTAATGGGGATGATCCTGGGCTTATTTTTGTTTGAAGATACCATCTGGTTATGACTAACAGTTCGCCATGGAAAGATCCACCATGCATTTTTAAGTTCGGTAAACCCAGGTAGTTACCATCTATTTCGATTAGGGCCATCGAAAAACCATGACGAACTGTGAATGTAATGTCATAACCAGAGGGTATATCCCACATGATCAACGGGATGGTAAATCCCAAGGGATGATCCAAAATTAGGGGTTGTATTTCATACCATGATGCCATCATGGGATGATTTACCAGCAAAAAAATGGGATGATTAGGCCCATGCCATCTTTCCCTGAAAATTTCAGGGTGATGAAGTATCACAAAAAATAGGCGACCATGTCCTACCGCGAGATTGCACAGGTCGGTTCATGACACATGTTCGCAGATGTTCGTAGGTTTTCCGCACTCATTCTGGTTAATCAATAGTGTTTACCGGATGTCGGCAATCTATTGTGCCAAGCAAATCCCTTGAATTTTGAAACAAGGAACTCATTTGGGTGAGAAATGTGAGAAATCAACCACTTGATCCACGATGTTTGGATGTTCATTCAGTGTTTGACAACCTTGGCTAGGAAGCCTCCTGACTGGCGGTGTCTCATGTACCGTACTTCTGCAACAAATCCAGGGCGTTAATACCAGTTGCACATTGGGCTGTGGGATGTTGGTCATTGTTCATGTGGTCCTCACTGAAGGGCGGGTTAGGAACCTACCAGGCTTATTGGACGCCCCAGCCTTTAACATAAACACAGAAACCCAACTCATAAGTTTGGTAAATGATTGTTCTAATTGGGACACATTCGATTCGAATTGACATGCACAAACCCGTGGTCATTTGGTTGCTTACATACAGTTATAATTATTCCCAATGTATCGCAGTTGTATCCCAACATATCCCAACTACACCCCCTACACCCTTTAAATGCTTGGTTTCATCACATATTTATCCCATTACATTATATTCCCATAAAATGTGTACCTGAATGGAATTCCATTGTTCATTGGCTAAATTCCCATGATGGTGCACCCACTTGAACGAATTGCTTACCTCAGCATTTTCCCTGGTTGGATCCACATTCATTAAACCACATTTTTTTGAGACATCACCTTTTGATGCTTCGAAGACTTGGGAACAGCCATGAAACTGCCCGTTTTTGCTGGTGAAATCCGGGTTTTCCTCATTTTTTATGGCTGAAACGGCCAGCCGCGGCCAGCCTTGGAGCGTTTTTCAGGCTTCGGCAAAGCCGCTCGCGTGGTGGGCTGAGCTCGGCGGCCTCCTTGCGGAGCGGCATCTCGGGGGCCTCGGGAAGGGTCCCTTGGCAACGTTCCATCTGGTTAGCCTCTGGTTATTGATGGTTAATGTCAACCCTGGATTAATAAACCCCAAACGGCTGTTTAATTGGGAGTGTACCATTTAAGTATCAGATTATGACTATTGGAGGAGTACCCCCCCTAATTAATAAACAATGGTTTATTAATCCGGGGTTGACATTAATGATGATGATTAATGATTAGTGTTGATTAATGATGATGAATAATGATGATTATGATGGTTAATGATGATTAATGATGATTAACGATGATTAATGATGATTTAATGATTAGTGTTATTTATGATGAATGATGATTATTAATGATTAGTGTTGATTAATGATGATTAATGGTGGTTTAATGATTAGTGTTATTTATGGTTAATGATGATGATTAATAATTAGATATAATTAGTGTTGATTAATGATGATTAATGCTGATTAATGATGATTTAATGACTAGTGTTATTTATGGTTAATGATGATGATTAATAATTAGTGTTGATTAATGGTGATTAATTGTGGTTTAATGATTAGTGTTATTTATGGTTAATGATGATGATTAATAATTAGTGTTGATTAATGATGATTAATGCTGATTAATGATGATTTAATGACTAGTGTTATTTATGGTTACTGATGATGATTAATAATTAGTGTTGATCAATGATGATTAATTATGATTAATGATGATGATTAATGATGATGATTAATGATGATTAATGATGATTTAATGATTAGTGTTATTTATGGCTAATGATGATGATTAACTGGTTGGTGGTTTGGAACATGGCTTTTTTGACTTTCCATCTATTGGGAATTTCATGACCCCAACTGACTTTCATATTTTTCAGAGGGGTAGGTCAACCACCAACCAGATAATGATGATTGATGATGATTAATGATGATTAATGATTAACTAATGATGATTAATGATGATTTAATGATTAGTGTTATTTATGGCTAATGATGATGATTAACTGGTTGGTGGTTTGGAACATGGCTTTTATGACTTTCCATCTATTGGGAATTTCATGATCCCAACTGACTTTCGTATTTTTCAGAGGGGTAGGCCAACCACCAACCAGATAATGATGATTGATGATGATTGATGATGATTAATGATTAGTGTTGATTAATGATGATTAATGATGATTTAATGATTAGTGTTATTTATGGCTAATGATGATGATTAACTGGTTGGTGGTTTGGAACATGGCTTTTATGACTTTCCATCTATTGGGAATTTCATGATCCCAACTGACTTTCGTATTTTTCAGAGGGGTAGGCCAACCACCAACCAGATAATGATGATTGATGCTGATTAATGAATAGTGTTGATTAATGATGATTTCATGTAATGAGATATTAAACATAGCCATTGAACATGGCCATAGACCATAGAAATAGTTTATTTACCCATTAAAGATGGTGATGTTTTTCCATAGTTTGTTGTATGTTTACCAGAGGGTATTATTTATGATTACTGATGACTCTTGGAAATGTGAACAATTATTGGTTCTCGTTGATGATCTGTTAGACTCAATTAGATGATTATTCGATTATGATGATGACAGTTACATGATGATGGGATTAAGGTGGGTCATTATTCGAGTGAGGTCGCAGTGAGGTCATAAAAATTCATCCAGATGTGATATAGTGTTAGTAAAGCAATAGTAAACCATCCCCTGTTCCATAAGTTGGTGGTATAAGCCATGAAAATATTGGTGGTTTACTATTGCTTTAACCACATTATAACCAATGGTTTAGTAAATGGCGAAATGGAATTGTAATTGAATGGGTTCTTGGATCAATGGGGGGTACATGTCCGTTGATTATGATGATTAGATGATGGTTAGTAGGGATAATTAGATTATTATTGAGAGTTTACTCAGCGTTAGATGATTCTTGACAGTTATTGATGGATTCAGGTGAGTAGTGAATGATTCTAATTTACTTGATGGGAGAGAAAAATGAGAATCAACAATGGGATATAATGGAATTATACCGCGGTTTTAATGGGGATAGAATGGGCCTATTGATTGGACTATGATGATTAGATGATGATTAGGATTGGGGTAACTATCGCACGATTGAAAGTGATCAGCTCTATGGCTTATTGAAAATCTTACATTTGGTTCGATGATTTCCCAGCGAACCTCCACAGGATGGGGCCCAGCTCCAAGTTGGTTTATAAACCATGAAATAACCCCCATGAATACTATAGTTATATCTGCCAGAAACCATATAGAATTCAGCCACTTAAATTTGAGGCAACTGAACGCGAGCTCGAACGGGGACCCCCATCCTGCATGTATAGGTGATATTTGGACTGATTATGACGATTAGGATTGGGGTAACCTCTACGAATCACAATTAGTGGTTAATGGAATGGTTAAATGGAAGTGTCATGGGGATATGATGGTTTTTTTCCCCAGTTTTTTTGTTTTTTCTGGGATCATCATTAGATCTACCATGAAATATCGCAGTAATATCCCAAGAATTTCAGTTATCCAATGATGTACCAGGTACCAGTTTCCCAGCATTTTCGTTGTTTTTTTCGGTCATTTCAGCACGGCCTAGCCACGCTCCACCCGCTGTGGAAACCAAGGGGCAAGACGACGACGCCCTGTCGCCATTGCACCGCCGACCGCCTGATCCGTCGCTGGGCGTGAGAGAGGTATATGGATGGTATAGATATACAGCAAACCCAAGTCATAGATAGACAAGTTACCCTCTGGAAATATGACATAACTATGGAAAATCACCCTATTTTCTAGCGTAGGTAAATCAACGAGCTAAATGGCAATTTTCAATAGCAAACTGTTAGTTTACCAGAGGGTAGAAACCTGGAAATATGAGGTAAACCTCATGACATCTAATTTATAACATCCTGGTTTCACAGTTTTCCGCGTTTTTTTCGGGGCTAGTGATATGGGCTTTTAACGATGAACACATGGGAATTTCATGTACCCTCCAGCAGACACGTTTACATAGCTATGGAAATTCAGTGGTTTCCGTTGGACATGATCTGCAAATTGTAGATCTTGCATATCTATGGTAGCTTGCTGGAGTCGCTGGAGGGTAATCTAACGACGAACAGAGGAAAATTGTAATTGAAAACTAGACCAAAATATGAGGATATGATACTGGTTGGTGGTCTGGAACATTGCTTTTATTTTTTCCATATATTGGGAATGTCATCATTCCAACTGACGAACTCATATTTTTCAGAGGGGTAGGTCAACCACCAACCAGAAATGTTCTGTATAAATATCGAGATCTGGTGGTGGGGGGAGCCATGGAGTTACGACTCGAGTTTCCCAAGCACAGTTTCCCAAGTGGTTTTGGGCATTGGGTACCGATTTTTTTTCAATTTCTCAGGTATGACATGGGCATGGTTCAAAGTCGACATTCCGCAAGGTATCCACAGATTCCGGATGATTTTGGTCACTAGGTCATAAAGGTACCCTCTGGTAAACATACAAAAAATTATGGAAAGATCCACCATTTTTAATGGGAAAACTCACTATGTCGACTGGGCCATTTTCAACAGCTATGTTAAATTACCAGAGGGTATGTATTGAAACTCTGACATTGGAGCTGTAATGACCTCTTGTCCTAGTAGAGAACCCGGTACTTTTTCTAAATATCCATTTCCCGTGCTTCAATCTTCATCAACGCATCATTTTGTACGAAAAAAGGCTACATGAATCATGCACCATCCATCGGTGAACCATTTTTTTTTCATACCCTGACCTGGTTTCGCTGAAGATGTTGTTTCCATTTGTCAATGCACCATGTCGCGGAATCTTCTGCTGAAGAAAACCGTGGGACTATCATCGCCACCTTGGGGCATGCACACGAAACAAAACACTTACAAAAAATAGAGGATACACATGGATATACCATTCATTGGTTAAGCAATGTTAATCATTGGATTGGTTTACGGGAAAATTTACGGGAAATCCCCATATGTCAAATATTTCATGGTAAAAAAGCATGGTAAAACCGGTGAAGATGTTCCCAGGAAACCAACCAAAAAACCGATCTCCTAGGCCGCGAAGCTCGGGCATCAGCCCCTTGGAGATGTGGTGTCATTGGTTTAAGGGACTTCTTTTAACAGGAAAGCTGTACATACCCTCTGGTAAACATACAAAAAGCTATTGAAAATGGCCATTTATAGTGAGTTTTCCCATTAAAAATGGTGATTTTCCATAGTTATGTTAGTTTACCAGAGGGTAGATGAATGTAAACTATATAAATGAGATGAAATGATGGTTAATTATTAAGAAATCATAATGCATGTCAAAATGGTTCTCGTTTTTTTCCCCGGAAAACCAATCCATTGATTGTGGGGGAGAAGGTGAGCTGGGCTGCTGGTTGATGTAGAATGATGTCGATCGGATCACAACTTAAAGAAAATTATGAGACGTGTTATTCATAGGTTAGATCAAGACGAACTGGTGTTTTCAAACTCTTCGATATGATTCGTGACATTTGATTTTCATCCCAGTTGACGTTTAGATATTTTTCAGATGGGTTGAAACATATCCCAAGAAGTTAACATGGCATTTACATGATTTAAATGGTACATGACATGGTATATGATTGGATAGTGTATATCTGGTTGGTGGTTTCAAACATTTGGATTATTTTCCATTTCATATATGGGATGTCATCCTTCCCATTCACGAACTCCATCATTTTTCAAGATGGTAGGTATACCACCAACCAGATATAAATTTAGGTACAATATCCATTATCTATGGTTAGTATAATATCCCACTATAATAATATAATATAATATAATATAATATAACATAATATAATATAATATATACCATTATATATATACACCATGACATGGTATATAAATATTGTTCAAGATGGTTATTACACCACCAACCAGTGATCTATATCCTCTAAATCACCATTTTTAATGGGAACCCACCAGCCAGATATAAATTTAGGTACTGACAGCCCTAAACCCTTGAGATGTTGCTGGATCCCCCATGATTCACCCAGGGCAGGTTACCTGCAGCAGAACCTGCCGGGATGGTTACCATTCTGTAAACTGACGACGTGGGAAATCATATATATATATATATACAATAGGTAATCATCTATAAGCGGGCAATTTTCCGCATCTATGTTAGTTTACTCTTGTCATATATATATATATATATATTATAATTATATTTATAAAATGTGAGGCCCCCCCAGTGATGTATGTTGGATTATAAGCCCCAGAAAAACTAGTTCGTTATAAGTACCATAAACCATAGTTATTGGAATTATAAACCAACTTAGCTAATTTGGGGGCCTCACATTGTATATAATAGGTAATCATCTATAAGTGGGCAATTTTCTGCATCTATGTTAGTTTGCTCTTATCATATATAGATATATATATAATTTGAGGCCCCCCAGTGATGTTACTTGGTTTATAAGCCCCAGAAAAACTAGTTCGTTATAAGTACCATAAACCATAGTTATTGGAATTATAAACCAACTTAGCTAATTTGGGGGCCTCACATTGTATATAATAGGTAATCATCTATAGGTGGTCAATTTTCCGCATCTATGTTAGTTTACTCTTATCATATATATATAATTTGAGGCCCCCCAGTGATGTTAGTTGGTTTATAAGCCCCAGTAACTACTTCGTTATAAGTACCATAAACCATAGTTATTGGAATTATAAACCAACTCAGCTAATTTGGGGGCCTCACATTGTATATAATAGGTAATCATCTATAAGTGGGCAATTTTCCGCATCTATGTTAGTTTACCCGGGCGTATCCAACTTACATACTGAGAACATAAGTGGTTTCTTGGAGGGCTGAAACTGCCCGCTTCGGGATTTGGGGTTCCCGGGTTCCCCATTCCTCAGTATATGGGGTTTTTAACCCTACATTTCGGTAGATCATTTAAAAAAAACGATAAACCAATTTGGTTTGATGAAATCCCATTTTTTTAGCCAGTTTTTAGATATAGATTATATCAAGAACCAATGGAACTATAGCCAATTCTTTGGTGAAAAAATCTGAAGTGATGGGAGCAGATCCCATCGGCACCTAGGCACCGCAAACCATGACCCAGACGACGAAGGTCCAAGACCCTCTGCGTTGCAACGGCGCGTATCCTTGGGGGACATGGAAAGCGAGTGCCTTGGTTGCCATCTGGCCCTGGTTGATACCATTGTTGATTGGCTATAGGATGTTATAGGGGATTGTACTCCCTGGTTTAGTGATGTTTAGTGGGGATTCTTAGGACCCATAATAGGGATATTTATTCACCAACCACTTAGAATGGATTAATGATGATCATACAATGATGATCAATGATGGTAAATGAGTGTTAATAGTGGCTGAGCAATGATTGATAGTGCTATCGAGAGCGGAGTGCTCCCGGATTTACCCATTAAAAATAGTGATTTTCCATACCTATGTTAGTTTACCAGAGGGTAATTAGCATGGTTGAGCACATGGGGTTATACTATCCAAGATCAGTTGGATATTATACCATATTAGTTTGTCACAATCAGTTCTAGTATTCTAGAAAAAATAACGACGAACAGGATGGACGGGTCCCATTTATCACTAGAATTTTACTTTTCTATCCTTTTGGGGATTGCTATGAGTGAAATCCCATTAGCCAACCAGTGCTTGAAGGCAAGACAGTGGTTTTGAACACTGCTCCCACCGCATGGGGTGGTGGTTGTCCGAACATGGAGTTCTCTTATTTTCCCCTGAAAATCCATAGGTTTTATTTGGAGGCTTCCAAAGTCATGGGGGTACCCCTTTTCCATCATCCATTTATAGATGGGATTTTCCATGAACTAAACCATCCAGCTATGGGGATACCCCCATTTATGGACCCCCCCATGGTGGGTTTTATGGGTAACCATCGGAATCCATGGGATTTCTGGTCTTCGCCGAGGTCGCAGAACCCCAAAAACTTGCGCCGGCGCGTGTCCTTCGACGAAGTCCTGGTGATGCAACACATGCTTCCGCAGGTACCGAACCAAGTTCCTAAGGACTGGCCTGGAAAGTTTCGGGTGAAGATGGGTGAAGGGATTTAATGTTTTTTTGGGATTTAGTATGTTTTTTTCAGAGGGTTTCAATGGGTGATGGATTTTGATGATGCTTAATTTAGTATTTGTTTCATGGGTGCTTTCCATGCTTTTGATGATTCGCCACGATGTCACCATCAACGAGGTGCTAATTTTTGTTTCTACACATATATGTGGTATATATATATATTGTGTATATATATATACATTATATAATATATAATGTATATATATATATATGACAGCTCAAACATTGCATTTCTTTTGCTTAACTTGAACATCAGCTATAGACTATAACCATATATTCCAAAGCTAGTTTCCAACATTTGATACGAACTTTTTCGCAGGAAAGAAATGAAGAGGACTCTGAGCCTTGGCTTTTACCAGAGATATCTTGGATCGGATGGCATCGGATGGTGAAATTCAGATAAGACTAGAGAAGTGTTGTGTTTTTTCGGATGTGGGCAGCGGCTGCTAAACCCCGGTTGGTTGATGATTAGTCATGGGATTTTAACAACGGGCAATCTTAGTCTTGGGGACTGTCACTATCATCTCCATCTTCGCCATATTGTGGGAATCCGATGGAATCCGGCACCAACCCGGGCTTTCTTTCTGAAACGACGAAAAGAGGCTTTTTTTTCGAGTAGCGTAGGGAGCACTGCTCATGTGTTGATTGGGGCGATCCTGAATGGATTCGTAGGATCAATGAGAGTCCTCAAAACGTGTCGGGGTGCGATGCGTCGGACAGAAAATCGAGGCTCCATGTGAAAAAACATCTTCAACTCCAGGGGTGGTTACATTTTGGACATCTAAACTGAACAGGGGAAATCCACCACATTGGGTTGAATCATATCATTTGTATTCAATTTCCTATCATTTGTCGGTGATTTTCTTTTCAGGAAAATGGTCAGAATTTCCCCTTCCTGATTGCTTGCTGGACCAACAGTTCAACCTACCAGTGGTCTTGGGCATGCTGAATTCAGAATTCTTCGTCACTGAATGGTGAGGGATATGACTATAGACTATAGCTGAATACCCTTGCTATTTGTTAGCAATCAAATCAAAGAGGTCTCCAGAATTATTTTCCCTTGAACCAATTCTGGAACGGATCCAAACTTCTCTCAACAAAGCTTGCAAAACATCATCATCAACCTCTCCTCAGTGTAGCAACATGACTAAAAAAAAGAACCTCCAACTGCCAAGGATTGAAGACTGGGCCGGCCAGACTTCGGCTGACCGAAAGGTGGCGTCATTGTGACATTTTCGGAGTAAAGCTTGGTGATTGGGAGGCGAACTGCTGTTTTTCTCTGGCCGTGCATGAGGGAACAACGTTGACACCATGCAGAGCCCGGCTATATCCTTTCTTTTTGAAAGGTAACCATCAGAGGGGTTTAACATGGTTTAACTACAAAGAACAGGTTTGATGACCCTCTTCAGACTTCTTAAACAGGTGTTAACCAAAAAGTGTGATGATCCTCCAAGTAGCAGGTCAAAGCCTCATTTTCTTTGCAATGCCTGTTGCATTCACCTACGACCTCCTCAAAAACATAGGCTCTGGATGAATTGTAACAACCTCACCGTGACATCAATGGCAACATCGGTCAGCTGCAAACCCGATGCTGAACGGCAAACAGCCGCAGTGAACCACGACTCGGATCATGGAAGACGCGATGTGCTGATGGCCCAAGGAGGTGATGTTGGCTAATTATGTCGGAAATCTACCCCAGAAAGTTCAGGTATCCTCAAACATTGGGATGAAAAATATCTGAAGAATGGGGTAGCAATTTATGACAATTTTCTTGGGGATGATAAACCATTTGGGGGTGCCCGATTTTCGAAGCCAAAGCATGATATTTTTCGTTTCAGGCTTGGCTACAATCCCCATGCCTCCGGAGTGGGGGAAACATTAGATCCCTTTTCGGGGGGAGTGCCATTGGGCAATTACACTTTCGTGATTTTGGATGGGAAAATATGTCCCATTGCGCCTAAAAATAGCAATCTACCATAATCTACCTAATTTTCCTCGTTCTGTGCTTGAGATGAGCCATGACTAGAAAAATTAGCCTCAACATCATGATTGAGTGAACCTTGATGCCTGGTTGGCTAATTATGGTTTGTCCCCTCTCTATATTAGTGTGTATAGTATATATGTATGTGTATTATATATATATACTCTTTATATATACACACACATATATATATATATATATGTGTGTGTGTGTTTGCGTGTGTGGTATATCCTTATGTGCATATAAGACGGCATGAAATGTTTACTTATATATATATGTATGATCCGAATCATGAATTAGGTCTGGTTGTAAGAAGGTCTGTTCTTAGGGTTTTTCAGGAAGCCTTCCAATACTCAAGCATGGTGGAACATTGGATTTTTTTGCTCTCATATACACATTGACAATGGTGTTTTTTTCTTGCTGGGTTAGAGTGCAGGAATTGGCTTTCCTATGGTTTCCTATTATGGACACGGTAATCCTTGGTTTCATCCTTTAGTGGGAATAGACTGTGCAGCTATTTTTTGTGTGTTCTCTCAGTTTAGCCACGTTTCCAGGTGTCACCTGAATGATGGTTAGTACGCGGAATAATCCCAACTTCAGCTTATCTCGTTTGGTGAACTGCAACAATGATTGAGGCAGAATCTCCATTTACTGTAAGTTGGTGATACCCCCAACAACAACAAAAACAACACGCAAAACATTTTATCACCATTATAGGTCAAGTAAGATTATTAGCCATAATCTTAGATTATGTCCTTTTACTGTAAATTTGCCACGTTTTGGACCAGTTACCAACCACTACCACAGTTGATCCACGATCCAACCCAGTTCCGGTGCTTCAACGAGTGTGAGAACAGCTCCGCTCTTGTCACCCAAGTGCCAGCGGCAAAAAATGGGGAGCTGGCACGGTATGACCAGACTTAGACACCGGGGACATAACCTGGCATAAGGATCAATAATCTATTACAGATCCAACATGATCCAATAGTTCTACACTTTCAAATCGCCTAAAATCCCGCATTTGGTTATCCCCAATATCTTTCCATTTTTTCCAATGGAAAATCCACCGTCACCATTTGCGTATCAAAATGCATCAAAACCATTTGCCTTGGATGAGATCGGTGGTTCAATTTTTTCAGCTTAAGGACTGCAACAAACATAGGGAATCAAGCAGCAGGAATGATAATATTGATGTGGATATATGATGGTGTATGATATGATGGATAATTCTATATGATGGTATATGTGATATAATTTAATGTCACATATGTTTATATGGCGTATAATACGATGGGAATGTCGTAACCAAGCGCAGGGAAAACTTGCGTGTTTCCGTCTCTGCCCAGAATGATCCCCATTGATTCGCGAAAAAAAAGAGTTGTGACGATATCAGATGGTTGCTGGATGTTACTGCTTCACATTATGAGGCTCATGTTTTCAACTGTAGCCTATTCAGTACATGTTCGATATATCTTTCAACTGGTCCCACGGATCCCGGCTTCATCATCCCAGCTCCTGCCGTGGCGATTTCAATGCGACGCAACGGTTTAACCGGACATTCGCCCCAGCCGTGGCGATTTCAATGGACACTGGTTGGTGGTTTGGAAATATGTGTTATTTTCCATAATATATGGGATAATCCTTCCCATTGACTTTCATATTTTTCAAGATGGTTAAAACCACCAACCAGGACAAAATAACCTCTTGAAGAGAGGGAAAAACCTTCGGATTTGCCATCCACCTTCGGACTTGGGAGATACTGAAGAAATGTTGAAATATCACGACTTGGGGTATCATCCCAGCCATGAAACTATTGTACAGTTTCGCTGGATTGGGGGCATCCCACCGAAGTTCAATGCCCCAAGGACCATCATCATTTTTCCTTATGGGCTGTATGTGTGTGCAGCCCTGAACGAAGTAGGGGTGTTTTGTTCTTGGATACCTTCCAGTAAATATACAAAAACCTTTGGAAAACCACCAAGTGTAGATTGCTTTGGAAACCAAAATAAACCAACGGGGAGTCCATAGTGGTGTAAACATGTAAACATTTGCTGGGAGGGCCTCCGTTTTTTTAAAGTAATGTTTTTGTTGAAATTTCGAAAGTATGGCAAGTCCAGCATCGAATCGACTGCCGTTCGACACGTTCGACTCATGGCAGGCTTTTTGCCCATCAAAAGTGAGCGCCGCAGAAAGCTGGCTGATGAGCGAATAGCAGTTATTTTGGTAAACCTGGTAGCTGAACAGGCTTTTCAATCATGGAGAAAGTGTAGAGTGTAGTGCTAATATTTTTTCCTGATCTAGATTGGCGGTCTTGAACCTCCGATTTTGCGCAGCTCCAGGGTTGTTCTTTGGCAATTTGAGATGGGCCATCATAAATTTTCGATCCAGGGATCTGTTTCCAAGGGTCTTAGGTTTTTCCTTGGAAAAACATATGTTTTGTTTAGATGAACAGCATAGTTGCAGGATACTCCCATTTGGGAATGTCAACCCCAGATTAATGAACATCATAAACCATGGTTTATTAATTACCCTCTGGTAAATTAACATAGACCCTGGCAGATAGGGGTTGGAAGATTAGTTTCCATTAAAACTAAGCTATTTTCAGGGTCTATGTTAATTTACCAGAGGGTAGGGGTACTCCCCAAAAGTGAGAATCCCAGAATCTGATACTTGCAATACAAGGTGATAAGTTCCAATCCCGTTGTCGGGACCAGATGATCCTCCATGTAGCCTTGTCTTTGGAAACTGGGAGGTGTATACCCCCAACATCACCGTATCAATATGTATCTATATACTTTCAAGGCACAGAGGTGATGAAAACCATGTTTTTTTTTGGTGTACTTACTAGGTGTAGCATTTCTTAAATTGGACAAGCCGGACAAGCCCAATATCATTAAGCATAGCTTTGGAATTTGGTGAAACCACTACGCCTTTTTTTGAGGATCCCGGAGACAGGTGCTTGGAGTTGGAGATGTGTGCCAGAGAGTAATTGCTCAATAAACCATCTACTACTACACACACATATATTATATATCTATATATCATGTTCAGATGCAAGGTTTCTAAGGTACTTATAATTTGTCACCATGTTTCTGAGCTATTTATGGGCTGGGATAGACATTCCAAGAGGCAGGTTTTCCAGTGGCACCTGGTGGTTCTTACCATACTTGGTGAGTGGAGGAACATCCCATGGATCATAATTTTTTTTTGCCAAAAAGCAGTTTGGAATGGAAAAGTTGCCCATTTATAATGAATTGCCCGTTAAAATGGTGATTTGCCATGATTTTCCACAGTTACGTTAGATCACCAGAGGAAAATCATCCTATAACTGGCCATTTAAGTTCGAACATCAACGAGCTATAAACAGCTGATTTTCCAGCAAGATATGTTTGAACCAGAAGGTAGACAATGGTTCATAGCCCTGGCTAACACATCCCCAATTCCTGCTTACTGCTCTACTAACTGTTACTAACTATGATGAATTTCCAGGTTTAGCTGATCACCCCCTCATTTTTTTGCATGGACTTTCTACTAGCCTTTTGCTTACAGATGTCTGTCATCTAAGGTACTCTCGCCGAAGGTGCCAACTTTGAGACTGGGTATGTTTTCAGCTCCTGGCACTTGGGTGCGGAGCTGAAAATAGGATGTACTATGTCTATACCCCCAATTTATGGCCCTTTATTTAAGGGAACCTGATGCTAAGCCGGTGGATTTGGGAATGCAATCTTTCATGCGCGCTGATGACATACCCAACGGAACAAATCAAATCGATGAACATCTGCCGGGGAGAGCCCAGGGGCCCAGCTCGGGTCTGATGAAATGTCACATGGCACCCTGCATGTGTGTTACTTTACCGTTTTTTTTGATAAGTAATTCGAGTGTAGACGGAGGTGTTACCAACGCATCCAGTTGACCAAGTGTTTTTGGTGGATGTTGACGTGCTCCCCTTTGCAGCTGATGACAGAACCCAAAATTGCCACAAAAGTTGGAACCGTGGAAACGATCATCCAAACATCATTAATCATTCTGAAACCGTTTCTATTTCTAAATTCTATGTTTTGAAGTTCCAGTGCGCTATCTAGTTGTTTACTTGTATTTGTCCGCCTGTAACCCTGGCCTAGTAAACTGCCTCTGCCCACATAGCCTATAGCTATTCCACATGCTGGTGGTGGATTTCGCATGGTGAAGACAATACCTATCCTGAACCGTGTTGAATCATCGATTATTGTAGTAACTCCCAAACAGATAGAACAGTAAAAGCTTACTAATAGATAGTAATGAATTACTATCCTAGCTTTTGAAAGAGTGACTCTAGCATTTTTCATCCCACAAAGAAGGAAATCATCTGTTGCTTGGTGGTTTCAACATGTTTTTTTTCCATGTCCAATTCGATCAGGGATGACTTTTTTTGGGCCTTGGGATGAAACCACAGGCCGTAGCAAAGAGGTCATGGTAACTCCTCCTTGGTTTTGGACGGTTCTCCTGATTCCCTGTCGCCGGATGCGCCATGATGCGCCAGTGTCTCCGAAATGCTTTTGGTCCATGAACAATTGGGGCAACTGGCAATGGGGAGAAGACACTTGGTTTCGCCCATGCTGAACCAGGGCGGCGGAAATGAAGAGATTCCATACATTTCACCAAGGTTTCGCTTTGGGGCTGGTCTCAAAAATTGGAGGGAAGGGATAATTTTGGGATCTGTTGGAGAATTCCACTTGGGCATGTTCATTTGGTGGGAGGTGCTGAGTTTTTTCTCATTCGTCCATGGAGTTTTCGATTACCAGATTCAGCTATGATAGCAAAATCGGTGAGCGAATCTGCTTTCCTACTTGGGCATCCCAGTGGTTGCCCCATATGACACCCGTTAGCCATAAACAGGTGTCCAGGTCACCCAGGCCTGTCGAGGACATGTGGCTGGACCAATGTTTCTTGACGGTGGGTCACGCCAAACGCATCTATGCTTCTTGGTGGCAACTGAAGAGTTGAAATGGGCGCTTTGCTCAAGATTTTGATGGCAAGATTTGAATGCCAAATAGAATGGCAGAATAGAAGGTCAGAATAGATGCCAGCTACCAGATAGACTGTCAGAAAAGAATGTCACATAGAGCTAGGTAGAAAGCCAGAATAGGTGCCAGAAAGAATGTCAGAATTGATGCCAGATAGAATATCAGAAAGAATGCTGCTGCTAGGTAGAATGCCAAAGAAAAGGTCAGAATAGATGCCAGTAAGGATGGCAGAATAGGTGCCAGATAGAATGCCAGAATAGAATGTCAGATAGAATGCCATAATCAAATGTCAGAACACACACTTGCTCAGAAAAAAAAATATATGACAGATATATTTTCAGATGATGCCAGAAGCTATGACAAAATAATTTGTCACCGTGGAGATCACTCAAAGCAAAGTAATTCCTATTAAAGTCTCCGTTCACAAGGGATATTCCAGCCAGCCACGTTTGAGGATTTGAGGAGGCCCCAGATTGCCCTGTCTGAGGTACCGAAGATGCTGGCGGAAGATCACTGTACCCTGGCCGCATCCATGCAACCATCCCATGGTATATCTATCTTCCAACATTGTTACATGTAATTACGACATATTACGACTGGGTGGATGGGTTCAAACGTTCTTGTGTAATGGCATTACATACTGGCTATATAATGGGTATAATTATAATCAATGATGATCTGGTTCCTTGTTTTGGTTGCCCAACCATAGACATGGGATGATTGCCAATGACGAGCATATTTTTCAGGTTGGTTGAAACCACCAGATGCAAATGTATTGTCAGACGGTGACGCTTAGTTGGAAGCTGGTTGGTGGCCCTATCCGATTTTCATATCCTTTAATATCCTATAATTCCCATAAACCTCAACAGTGGTTATTGTAATATTCTATTTGCAACTTAGCTAACATAAACAAATATGAATCACCTAAAAATCAACGTTTTTGTAAGTTAAATCATTATCTGAGCCGTCAAGAATATTCCCACCATATCATGAAAATACTAGTTGTTTGATGTTCGTTGATAGATTTCCCTCCAATGGGTTAGCCAACCAACAAGGGTACAATAATTATAATGTAAGCTGCCTAATAGTAAATTCCCCCTAAATAAAATATTTTTTTAACAAATTTAGGGGGGGTCAGCATTCCAATAGTAAATTTTTGGAACCTTATAGCTGGGATCATGGAAGTGGGGGCAGAGGTGGTGGAGGCGAAGGAGGAGGACGAGGAGGAGGAGGAGAAGAAGGAGAAGAAGGAGAAGGAGGAGAAGAAGGAGAAGAAGGAGAAGAAGGAGAAGAAGGAGAAGGAGAAGGAGGACAACAAAATTGGAGTTGCGGGAAAAAGTTTCCACTATTGCCATGCCTGGTGCAGGTTTGTTATTGGTATTCTGGGGCTTGCAAAGGGGGTACCCTTTGTGGACCTGTTTTCTTGCTTTTTTTAATAAGGGTTTTATAAGGAAATCAGCTGTTTGGTAATTGGATCAGATTTCTGGAATCTAAGCTTTTGCTAATCAAAAGTGAAGGCTGCTTTGAAAAGGATTTGCTTTACTTGACTCTTTTGGCAATACTAAAAGTAAATGGAGCTAATTGACTTTTAGTATTGGAGAAAAAATTGGAGTTGGGAAAAACGATTTCCACTATTGCCATGTTGGGTCCACTATTGGCCATGCCCCCTGGACAAGGTCTGAACATGACTCTTTTGGCAATACTAAAAGTAAATGGAGCTAATTGACTTTTAGTATTGGAGAAAATTGGAGTTGCGGAAAAATGTTTCTACTATTGACAAGATATCACTATTGACTAGACAACATTACACCTGGTTGTATTTCCCATAATGTCCCCCAAACCATATTAATCCACCATGTTTGTTGACACTGTACCTCCCTTATAATTTAAAAGCAAGGGTATCAAACAACATGGTGTTGCTAAAATCTCCTAAATCGTTCCAAATATGTGTAAAAAACCTATTAAACCATATTAAACCATTGTTTTTGGGTGGTGTTTTGTTTTCGCGGGATGGGATTATATCACCATTAGTATTCAAATTCCATTCATATCCCATGATTTCCATATATTTCCCATTTATATTTCCCATATATATATATGTCCCATTATTTCCTATATATTTCCCATGTATTTCCCATATATTTCCAAGGAAATCCTATGAAATCCCATTGTTTCCATATGTTTTGCTTCGCGATGCCAGCCTTGAGGCAACAACTGGCCTGGATGGAGGTCCTGCGAGGCAGAGGATATCGTGGCCTTCCACCCCTTCAAAAATGTGCCGCGGCAGTCGCCACTGCTGTTTTCAGGGTGAAAACTGAGTTTTATACTGGATATATCTATGGATTTCTGAAGTTTATGGTATAGGGTTAATGGGATTTAATGGATAATGATACAACAAGCTAAGAATAGCTGAATCATATGAACATATTTAGGTGAAAACATGTGAAAACTAAGGTTTATAATGGGAAATATCCCAGCTAAATGGAGGTTTATAGCTGGGAAAATCATCGAACAAAATGGTTGGTTTCCCAGCAAGCCATGTTTGATTACCGGAAGGCATAGAAGGGTATCATCAGGGTATACCAGAGGATTTCGTGGAATGAACCACAATGAGAGGCCCCCCAGTCATGTTTGTTGGTTTATAAGCCCCAGTAACTATAGTTGTAAGTACCATAAACCATAGTTGTTGGAGTTATAAACCAACTTAGCTATCTTGGGGGCCTCACATTGCAGAGATGGAATTTGATGGGATAAATCACCAACAATATGATTTTTTGGTGCGTTCTTGAAAATAGGATATGCCCCCACCATTGCAATTTTACCGGCGGAAATGATGATAAACCATCAAATGATGAACCATCAAATTTTGAGGTATCCTAGTTTCAAACAAACCCACATATGTATACATATCTGCACATACGGGGTGATGGGCCGTGAGAAGCTGCTTTGTTACATGTTTCCATTGGATTCCAGTGGTACATCCACCAGAAACGGGAAATCTATAGGTACTATGTGTTGTTTTCTTGCCACCTGAAGCAAGTCCCAGACAGTAATACCCCAGTTCATAGGCTTTAGCTGGTGGGAATAAATGGTATGACAATCTCAGCTTTCAGTATGTTCATTGGATTGGCTTAAGGAAAATCTACAGGAAACCCTGGTTTTTATCATGAAATTCATCGGGTTTTCCTGCAGATTTTCCAACCAATCCAACGGGATGAGTCAGTCTCGTGGTAGACAGTCCTACCCTATGTATTGGGTTTGTCCGAAAAGTGGTTACCCCATGTTACTATTTTTTTTTGGGGTTATCACCATATTTCCAATAAGATTGTTTGATGGCATACCCCAAGCCTCAGACAAACCCATATACAAATGTATATATAGCAGCATCAAAAAGTGGTAAGTTACGGAATATGCAGACCTGACAAACCATTGCTACAAATCCATATGTTGAGGTTAACCATTTTGTTTCTTGAGCACACGGTTTCTCACCATGCATTGCCGAACCTTACCACATGTTCAAACGACGTTCGGTGCTATTGGGCAACATTTTTCACGGCAACATAACCATATCGTTCTTGAACCAATTTCCTAGTGTGCTGGAGCTGCATCCGTATACAGTATTGAAAAAACAGTTGGCCAAATCTACCATCTGATCCATTTCGGGATGTTTATACAACCCGTTTGTATCCATTTGTGATCATATTGGGCATGGTTTATAATATTTTATAATTGGGTGTTCCAGATTAAGCAGCAATAACAACATTGTACAACAATAATAATAAACCATTGGTCAATGGGAGTTTCAGGATCCTAAAATGGAGGTACTGTACCATATCAGGCCATATTTTGGGGGATATTCCCTTACATAGGCCTTATCTGGGCCTTATATATGGTAGGTACCTCCAATTTAGGTTCCGAAATGGCCATTGAATTGGTGTTGGTTAAACAATGTTCTATAAATCCCACTTGATTATGTATGATTACCTCGCCACACAGCGTTTTTTGTGGCGTTTTTTTTTTTCGCCTGAGGCTGAGCAGTACATTCAATGCACCGTGCGGAATCCTGGAGACTGTTAAAAACACCAGTTTCTTAATTATGACAGTACCCTATGGTAAACTAACATGGCTATGGAAAGATCCACCATGCTATTAGTGGGTAAATCAACTATTTCGACTGGGCCATTTTCAATAGCAAACTGTTTGTTTACCAGAGGTTAGGTGGGGTTAGATTTTCAACAAATGGGGTGACTTACTGAAAAAAACTGGTAATACGGGCCACAACTGGGTTATGTTAGGCTTACTACCCACTTGCTACCATGGTTACCTCCTGGTAAGTTAACAGTTTGCTATGGCTATGGTCCATTTATGAATGAATTCGCTATTAAGCATGAGTACAAAAATAGAATCAACATTGGACCATCAGCAAAACTTCAGCTGGTTGGTTAGACATATGGTCAGGTGACAAACTTTACAAACTAATAGATTTGAAGTTGAAAAACTTGGAATGCAAGTGCATGTCTAAACAGGTCCCAGGGTTGCTCCAACCTTTTGTTTGGTGTTTTCGATTCCCACAAGAGGAAATTGAGTTTACTCTTTTTTAAACCAATTTACCCTCTAGTATTTGGGGATTTGTGCCACCACAAAAAATGGATAATCCTTGGTGAACGATGAGTCACGATGAGTTTAGAACTGTCTTTTACCATAGATATCAATAGGAAGATGCTTAAACTAGCTACAAGACTTGTATCAATGGTGCAGGGGAATATCTACATACACTCTTATACATTATATATGAGATTGGCCGCAAATTGAACTGACATATCCCCTGCAAAGAGGACCTCCCCAGCTATGTTGGTTTAGTTTCACCCAGCTGCAGAATTTTTTGGCATCTTCCTTGGGGGTACTATACAAGTATACGAATTTATGTGTATATCCTACACTATATCCCCACGTATATATGGAGGTTTCCTGAAATGGGGTTACCTCCGAAGCATCCATTTTAGTAGGACTTTCCATTATTAGCCATCCATTTTGGGGATTCCCCATTTATGGAAACCCCCATATCCCCAATGTATCCGAACTTTGCACAGCTGGAAAAAACACTTACGAAACGAGTGCCAGTTCTGCTGAAGATGTCCAACTGTTCTATTTGTTTTGGGTTGCTACCGCTGTATAAAAAAATAAAAAGGTTTATTATTTCTATTATTTTTCCTATTATTATTTGTCATTATTATTGCTCTTATCGTGTTTTATGTGTTTTTTTTTGTGCATGTGATATCAGGCTCGTATCATATTCTGTTATATATATATATATATCTCATATGTAAATACGTTATATGTATGTATCATAACATCTACCCTCTGGTAAACTGACATAGCTATGGAAAATCACCTTTTTTGCTATGTAGATTAACTATGAACATGACCATTTTCAATAGCAACATGTTAAATTACCAGAGGGTAAACCATCCCCCAAACCACCATTTTTATAGGTTGTATAAACCATTCCCAAAGTGGATGGTTTAGTGTTGTTTTACCAACATTATTCATCAATAACTATATCATATCCCATGAATATCCCATTCATATACCATTGATATTCATTAACCATTAGTATACCATTCGTATCAGGAACCATACTAATATATATATACACATATCTATGGATGTATCATAATATCTATATCCGACCTCAATTCCTCATTTAACTGTTGCTTCAGCCTCACCTCTGACATCTGATGTCATCTGCTAGGGAAAAAGCGTCACCACCAGCACCACCCGAACGGCCACCCAAACAACCACAGCCCCTTGGAACCAGTTACGAAGTGGGTCCTCCAAGTAGGGATTTCTAGAGTTTTTTAAGCAACAAACATGGGGATATAAGTGATAAATATTGATGCATATGCCAGTTTGATGGGATTTGAAAAGGATTTAAGCTTCAATGATGGAGGTTTAAGGGGGTTGCAATCTCAAAGATAAGTGTTGGACAAAAGACGTTGAAAAGGCATGGTGTCACAAAAAAAAGCAACGTGATCTGCAAATCAGTATAGAGAAATGCATATGGTTTGTTGATGTTTGCTGTTTCCTGCCATATTTCTGCCAATTTAGGGTTTGTTGGTTCACCCAACACCGGGAGAGCGCAAAAAATGATGAGGTCCCCGAGGTCCCCCGCAGATGGCCTGGATTTGAGTGATGAATGGATGATATCCATCAAAAGCATCTATTTATTTACATGTTTTGATGGATTACTAATGGGATTTAATATATTTAATGGAATGCAATAAAGGATAGTAAACGTTTAGATGTGGAAAAGCCAATGGGGAAAGATAGGAGAAATTACCAGTCGGAAAATGATCTGCATTTCTGATGGGTTTTGCACATCTATGTAAACATTTACAGGAGGGTACTGTACCCGTCCCCAAATTCACAGCTGGACCCTGAGAAAAAAAAATTGACCCTCAACTCATGACAGGGTCTATGTTAAATCACCGGATGTCAATATTCTGGAACATCACCCATTTCTGTGAATTCCAATTGATGGAGGGTTGGTCAATGCATTATTCTTTTTGCTATACATGGAAGAACTGCTAACCAGCTGGCAGTGAGGACTTTTGCATCGTTTGCAATTTTTACCAAACGTGATTTCATATGATTTCCAGATGTACAATTTGATTGTTCGATCTTCAAAATCCTGACTGAGAGAACTGGCAGATATTGGCAGCCTGGATGTCCAAAAATGCCACAGCTTCACTAGGCGTAGGCATCAAAAAAAAAAAAATGCATCAAACAAAAAATAAAAATGCATCAAAAAAAAATAAAAATGCATCAAAAAAATAAAGGACGAAAGGAAGGAAGAAAGGAAGAAAGGAAGAAAGGAAGGAAGGAAGGAAGCAAGGAAAGAAAGGAAGAAAAGAAGAAAGACAGGAAGGAAAGAAGGAAGGAAGGAAGACAGAAAGGAAGGAAGGAAGAAAGGAAGAAAGGAAGGAAGAAAGGAAGGAAGAAAGGAAGAAAGAAAGGAAGAAAGGAAGGAAGGAAGCAAGGAAAGAAAGGAAAGAAAGGAAGAAAAGAAGAAAGACAGGAAGGAAAGAAGACAGGAAGGAAGACGGAAAGGAAGGAAGGAAGAAAGGAAGAAAGGAAGGAAGAAAGGAAGGAAACAAGAAAGGAAGGAAACAAGAAAGGAAGAAAGAAAAAGGAACCAAAGAAGAAAGGAAGGAAGAAAGAAAAGAAGGAAGAAAGGACGGAGACGAGAAAGGAAGGAAACAAGAAAGGAAAGAA